CCCGGAGTCCAAGGCTCCCCGACAGATAGCCATGGCTCCACCTATCTGAACGGAACGCATTGACTGGGCCTTCTGGGGATCGTCCCACTGTCCCAGACCGTTCGATCGTTCTTTAAAGTTCGCCTGTAATTACCAATAATACACCATTTTCCCGTCATCACCTCATCTGTCGTCCTTTTCCGGGCGCTGCGGCAACTATGAATGTGCAGTAGTACCACTAGGTACATGCTTGGCCGACTTCCTCGCCTTATTCAACGGTCATGGCGGATAGAATTTTCCCCCCTTCTCTTTATCATCGTACAATAATAAAGATGAATAAAAAAATTGAAGTCAAAGCAGATCGGAAAGTAAACTAAAAGATGCAATACTACTACTCCATACTGTAGTCTCAACGCTTAGGACTTCTCCCCTTAATCAATTTTGCCTCCACTTCTATCTCTCCGTTGATTAGTTCTTTGGTTCGCAAGAGGCTCAGGTTTTAGATACCGGGTTTTCCTGAGTCCTTTTTCCTCTGGACCATAGGTGATAGCCTACATCTAACCTTAGTACACGGGGGATCTGCCCTTCTTATCAGTTGCTGTCATTCCTGTTTATTCTTTTATTATTACTGCGGCTTCCCTCTTTTCTTCCATTATCACTTATTCTTTTTTGGCCTCTCATATACTTCCCTCCCCTCCATTACCATTCTTCTCTCTACTGACCTTACTTAATTCTTGTCCTCTTCCTATCCTCACACAGCATTGGGGTGTCCGTTATCGGTTTGCGCCTCGTTCCTTTTCATGGCCCTGCAAAACTTTTAAAGTTCCTGTGATTCTCCCATCTGCTCCAGTTTGCCTTCCTACGACTTCCGGCCATCATCTTATTCACCACTTTTGCCTCTTCGCTAGATGTCGAGTCCACAAGGTATGTACATGCAGCTCGCAATTGTACAATGTCAATTGCTACACACCCTTTTCGCCAATGCTCTTTTTTTCCTTCGCTATCTTCCGAAAAGTTAAATGGCGGTGATCCTTTTCTCGAATCCCATTTTATCCTGATTCCTCTTTTGTGTTACTCGAGGATTTGTACCGTGATACCTTCGTTACCTCTCTCGTCCCAGAAAGTGACATGACTGCGCTCCAACGCTCCTTCTACTGATAATGCAAACACCCTTCCACCTCCAATCTTCCCCAATCTTCTGTCCGGTTCCTCTTTTGTCTTCACTGAGCAGATCAATTCATCTTGGCAACAATCTACCCGCTTGACACCGTCATTTGCCTCTGGTGTGAGGTTGCACACCAGATAGAGGCCCATTGCCACTGTCCTGCTTTTGTACAGTCTTGACAAAGGCGACCCTTCCCGACTAACTCTCGGTCAGATTCTATTTACAGGGGCCGTTTCTTTGAACGACTCATCATTTGATCTCTTCGTCTGTGGATCAAGGTTGCTCTCTTCACGCTGTAACTATCACAGCTTGTTTCATTCAGGCCTTTCTATCGTCAGCCTGCATCTTGTGTCTAGCCACACAAGTCCGGCCGGATGCCATACACTGCGCCGTTGAAGTCGTCGCCTTCTGCGCAGCACATTGAACACTCTCAACCCATCTCTCACTCTTGTCCCAGCTCACCACCATCGGTCGCTTCGAAAGCTGGGCGTCCGCACCTCCCACGTTCCTACTCATCTACCGCTTATGTTCGCAGGCACAGAAGGAGCCCGTCGAGCAGCAAGTCCTTTGTCTTCCCAGCTGCTGACAATCGTCCTCCTAAAACTAGCCATGTTGCCGACACTCTGGCTAGTGTCCGGCAATCCCCGCCTCCGATAAGCGATGCCATGATCCCTCCAGGGGCAGTGATATCTCCACCGGAGTCGGCTCCGAATTCAAGTGATGAAGAGTTGACGCATCAGCACCGGGATGCACTGAAGCTGGAGGAACTCGAGGCGGCCGTGAGGTCCATTGAGCAGCGACGGACGCGTTCTCCAGAGAGGGAAGCAGCAGCAGAGAAGCCGTCGTCGAGTATATCACCGCAGGAGTCTTCTCGTCCACCACTAACCAAGGAGGCTCGCAAAATCTCACACTCTCGGTCGGTAACCGAAAGCTCTATCTCTCAGAAGAACGAAGAAGCTTTGACAAGCTCACCGGAAGAGAGTGAGAGGGATGATGAGCCCCAGAGGAAGCAGCCTATGGTGCGAAAGAAGTCAGGAGAACTTGTGAGACCCGCTCTTCGCCCTCCGTCGGCGCGGCGACGGCCATCTAGCATGCCGGGTACGCCCACCTACGCGAAGGCGGTGCATTTTGACTCTCAGCTCGAACACATTCGTCACTTCTTGCAGTTGGACAAGCCACAGGCGGTCAGTGCCAACACGTCTCCTGTGGAGGACTATAACAATGAAAGTGAATTTCCCTTCGAGGTGCCTTCCTTCGAGTGGGAGATCCGACTTTCAAACTTCCCCAAGGATGTCTCCTCTAGAGCTCTTCAAAAGGTGCGACTCGAACGACTATTCCTATCCTCGAACAAGGATACATTGGTTGGCGTGGTGGCAGTTGCCAATCTGGCTTTTCAGAAGCACGTTGCCGCTCGCTTTACCTTTGACCACTGGAGGACGGTCTCTGAAGTTACTGCGGAATTCAGTGACGATGTCCGTCGGAAGCAAGCCCATGACGGCTATGACCGGTTTACCTTCAGCATCAAGCTCACTGACCATGCAAACTTGGAGCAGAAAACCATGTTTGTCTGCATCCGCTATAGCGTGGCTGGGCACGAATTCTGGGACAACAACAATTTCATGAATTACCAAGTCAACTTCGTTCGGATCCCCCGGCCACGACCAGAGCCGCGGAGCCCGTCCGCTGCAAGCTCGCGCCCAGCTCTTCCTCGCAGCAAGAGCTTTACCGGTGTCAACAGCCGTCCTTCTTCAATGCCTTCCTCGCTCGATGATTTTGATGAGGATATGAACGATTATTTATCCTTTGGTCGTCCCAGGAAAACATTCAAAGAGGAATCTTCACCTGAGAATCTGTTGAAGGAGGTTCACAGAATGTCTGCTTCCCGCGAGAAGCAAGCACGACAAGCGTTCGGCAATCGCTATGATTTTGGGGCCTCTTTGTCCGCCGTCATGCGGACCAAGCCCGCCCATGATCGCACGACTCTGACCGCTCGAGCAAAGTCTGACCCTGTGAACGGAGGCCCTGTCCCGACGGAAGGTCTACATGTCAAGAAGGTGTTCCCAATTAGCGAGATCAGCTCCCAACTAGCACACTCGGAACACGTCAAGCCCTCGTCCCTCTTGTCCAGCAAACCCCACCATGATTCATCTGTGTACAAAGAACTTGTCGACAAGTTCTGTTTCTATGGATCCTCGAAGGGCTCCAATGGCACCAGCAACTCGCCTAGTAACGGGGATTTGCATCCCGATTCTTCGAGCATATCCAGCACCTCCTCCGCACAATCCTTGTCACCTCCTCTCTCACCACGTTCGACTGAGGTCTTGGGCATCGACTATGGGAACAGCCGCTCGTCGTCTGCGAGCCCAGTCAGCTCAAGCCCCCGTGCAGCTTCATCATCACCAACCCGTTTCGACTATGCTCATCACCCTCACATGCAGAGCAACTTCTTGAAAGACAGCCCGACCCCGGCAGTCATCAGAGGGTGAGTTTGCTCTTCCATGACTACCGATAAACAAGTTGGGTCCATCTTCACCGTCGTCGTACCTCTTCTCACGCTATGGTTGAAGGTCGCACAGTACTTTGATACCCACTCGTGAGACGATCTATTCGAGGGATACATTCATCGACCCTCCCTCAACCCATCATTTTTCTACTCGATCAGTTGTTTGCTGAATTAGCAGGGGACCTATTGTCGCCGTTGCGTATAACAGCTATGGCTTGTTAACCTGGTTTTAATACTCTTTTTTCCCTTTCCTTTACTCTGGTGTTCAAGTCAAGTATTGAGGTCTTTCCCTTTGCGATGTACCATAAACCGCGGGGAAGTGCCTTGTACTTGCTTATTTTCCTCTTTTCCACGAAGCAATGATTACGGTGGATAGCAAGTTTATGTTCATGCATGATTGTGCTCAGTGTGGTCTTTTTGATATCAGTCTTGATTTGTTTGATGAGTACGATGATACGAATTTTCTTCTCTGCGTTTGTTCCTGCATAGTAGTCTGGTAGTCTGCTTAACAGCATTCTATGAGATGAAGCATTTGCAATCAGGAAAAGTTTCCACACAGTTTACGCTGTTGTTATTGAACATTGCTCGACTTTAGTTGAGTTTCTGCATGGAGTTTGGGGTCTTGTGCTTCATTTTGCCGTCTTTGCTACGGTTCCCTGGGCGGGTAACAATGCCTTTCTTGTATTGTCTGCCACATGTAGGTAGTTCTGGTATGATATGTGGAGGCAACGACAATTCTCAATACATTAAACACACGGTTATTACTTCTGTTTCAATATTTTCCCCGCCTTTAGTCTGTTGTCTTGTAGTCGACGCAAAACCGAGCGTGTCTAGCTGCTGATGGGATGGACCATTACGTAACTTGCGCTGAAGATGTCCCTCTGTCGATAGTCCGTTGACTCTCTTCAAGGTCGCTGTCTGATATATTTTGGTATTCTTAGATAATGTATTTCTAGTGAGGGGTATGAGAGAAGGATTGCCCGACATGATTAGGAGCGGCTGCAGGTTTAGATGTGGGGTGTCGGAAGGTAGAACCCCAGCTAGGTCTCGATCCTTGAGTTGATTGTCGGGTCTAAGTCTCGATCGGACTATCGAGGAGTGATCGTAAGAGATAGCTTGATCAGGCAACAGACAGAATCCATAATTAGCATTGACTAGGCATATCTATACTTTTCTGGCGTACAACTTGCCTTGGAGATAGATGCCTTGCTAGAAACTTGACGTTTGTGATAAGGCATGCCGCCAAGATATCACGTGATCCTACCCGCCTGATGCGCCCACGTTGCTGGTTCACAGCGGCAAAACTGCGCCAGAAACCAACGGCAGAAACATGGGCTTGAAAGCAGCCGTTCATAACGCCCTTTTTCCCATCCGCCACCCGCCAATCATCTCGTCTCATTGCTTTTTGACCCTTCCAGATCAACCCCTGGGCTTAGTCATTCACCGAAACAGCGAAAAATCACGCTGTCGCTTGCTGACCGCCCCGAAGACCTATTTAAGAATACGCCTCCTTCGCCCCTGCTTCTTGACTTGCTCTCTTTTTCTTCCCTTTTACTACTACTCAATCCAGCCAGCGACGCGCCACATCTGCCATCAGCTCCGCGGGTCGTTTTCATCAACTTTTCATCTATTTTCTTATCATCTTATCTTTGAATTTTTTATTACAATATGACTGGACGTAAGTATTATTCTTGATATGGTTTTTTTCCCTCTGTTGTGCTTATCATTGTTGGTTGTTGATGGCTTCCGGTCGAGATGGGTAATGATGATACACGGCTGGATGCACGTGACATCTTGTCACTGCCTCAGGCCAACGCGTTCATCCTATATCTATCTCACGTGGAATTGACAGCCATTCGCTATCTCTATCTTTTATCAAGACCACAGTGACTAACAATTATGTCCTACAGGCGGCAAAGGAGGCAAGGGTCTCGGCAAGGGTGGCGCCAAGCGTCACCGTAAGATCTTGCGTGACAACATCCAGGGTATTACCAAGCCCGCTATCCGACGTCTCGCCCGTCGTGGTGGTGTCAAGCGTATCTCCGCCATGATCTACGAGGAGACCCGTGGTGTCCTCAAGTCCTTCCTCGAGTCGGTCATCCGTGATGCCGTCACCTACACCGAACACGCCAAGCGCAAGACCGTCACCTCGCTCGATGTAGTCTACGCCCTCAAGCGCCAGGGCCGTACCCTCTACGGTTTCGGTGGCTAAACGTTTACGCTTTGCTATTCGTCATCACATCGAGTCCCGAGTCCCTGCTCCGATTCACTTGGCTTTCTCCGACCGCTGCTGTGTCTGGTCGAGTGCTTGGTAACGGTTGATTGGGGGAAAGCCCGGAGACTTGTATATTGACTTCCATGCGTTTATGCTGTAATGCTTTTCTGGATCTTTTGAGGTTTATCTATGGGGTTTCAATGGGGTTTGGAATGGGCTAGTTTGATCTTGACAATCTTCTGCTGGTTTTATCATATGGGCTTGGAGGATTGGGCTGGTTTGGATCTTTTTCTAACTGCAGTGAATTGTGGATTCCTCGCTTCTTGGGGCTAGTGAATACAATCAATTTCACTGGGGATGAATAATTGTCCTGATTCTGTAAGTTGTAGTGTATTCATACCATCGACAGAATTCCAGACAGATCACATGGTGTAGTCTGCGACCGTTGTATCGTGCACGGACCAACACATGCGCATGACGTTATCCTCCCTGCCCTCCCTCCGCATGGCTGTTGGACCTCGGTCTTTCGCTAAAGTAATCAGAATATGACGACTCCGACTTGGTGTGGCTGTCATAAATCGGAGAGGTCCGTCTCCTGCTTTGTTTATGGACACTGCAGGACCTGACGTTATCAATCGGACTTACCTACAGTACATATCCAAGAGACCATAAGGCTATCACATGGGGTCGATATTCCTGACGAGCTATCAATTGACTTGCCACCGATTCTGTTCATCTCATCATTGATTTATAGCCTCTGTGTTTTTCAACTGCTAAAAAAGATGTCAGAGTATAAAGTCGCCTACGAGTCTGAGCTGGTACGTCTGTCGTCGTTGACCTACGAGACCCGGGGTTCGGCTCTTTGAATTATAGTGAGGATTACTGATTGGGTGGCACTGGGTAGGACTCGTATCAACTGTACTATAGATATCATAATCCGCCACCGGAAAAGGACTGGAAGAGAGCTGCGTTACGTGGTCCTGCTTTGCCTGCCGTGGGGAATGCAGCCGCGGGAGCTGTGGGAGCGGCTATATCGAATGTTGTCACGTACCCGCTCAGTCTGATTGTGACTCGACTACAGACGCAGGCTCAACGAAGGACGAAGAAAAAGATCAAGACGGAATCCGAAGACGGGGAAGAGGAGGAGGAAGAGGAGGAGGAAGAGGAGTACACCGATGTGCTTGACGCAGCACGCAAGATCTACGCCAAAGAGGGCCTGGGGAGTTTCTACACGGGTCTCGCGCAGGACACAGCCAAGACAGTTGCGGACTCGTTTCTGTTTTTCCTTGCGTATGGCTTTTTCAGGCAGCGGAGGATCAGGGCTCGGTATGGTGATGGGCGGCGGGCGAAGCATGTTGTTCTTCCGATTCTGGATGAGTTGGCGATCGGTGTGCTGGCCGGCGCGTTTGCGAAGCTCTTTACCACGCCGCTCGCTAATATCGTGGCGAGGAAGCAGGCGGCGTCTGGCAAAGAGGCACTTTCGACGAAGGATATAGCTGCGCGGATCAAGTTTGAGAAGGGGCTGAGGGGATTTTGGTCCGGGTATTCCGCGTCGCTCATTCTCACGCTGAATCCGTCCATCACTTTCTTCCTGAATGAGGTCTTGAAGTATGCACTTTTGTCGCGGAATAAGCGGGGGAGACCGTCGCCCGCGACGACGTTCCTTTTAGCTGCCATCAGCAAGTCCGCTGCATCGTCGATTACATACCCGTTTTCCATGGCCAAGACAAGAGCGCAGGTCGATACCTCCGGAATTAGGGAGAAACCGAGCAGTAAGAGTGTCTCTGAGGACGGGATTCCGTTCGCACCTCAGATCATTTCCGACGTGCTGGCCATTGCACGAAACGAGGGTGTTTCCGCGCTGTATGCGGGCCTCCCCGGTGAAGTTCTCAAGGGTTTCTTCTCGCATGGTTTCACCATGCTAGCAAAGGATGCGGTCTATTCGCTTATCGTGCAGAGCTACTATCTTCTTCTTATAATCTTGAGGAGATATCCTACGTCCGAAGAACTGCTCCAACGCGCGCGCGAACAGGCCGAGGAATTCGCTGAAGCCGCCCGAGAGGGCGCGCGAGATCTGGCAGAGAAAGCTAAAGAAGGTGCCGAGGAGATGCTTGAGCATCATCCGGGTCATGTCTCTGTGGATACAGCTTCGAATGCTGGATCTTCCGGTGTGGATGCCTCAACTGGATACCGCGTTGGCTCCGATGGGCCATGGTCTGATACCAACCCGACCGCAGAGTTGGTGAGAGATTACGTGGAGGATGAGACGACAGAATGGAAGGGTATGTACCGTTGGTTCTGGGAGAAAGCAAAGCAAGAACAAGAGTGAGCTTGTTGGCTTGTTTGTCTATTTCCTTACAATTACGGTGTACTAGAATGGTGTCGGATGTTTACTCAGGGATGATGAGCGTAGCATTATCTGAATACATGGCATAAGTAATTTCAACTTAGCATACAAATTTACTGACTTTGAGAGCAAGACATGAATCCTTCGTATGAGTTCTAAGAATAGCGTACACTATCCAAGATCTCTCATCCTTCAGTGGGGCCTTGACTCGCCGAGATCCACGGGACGCACCATCGCATCCAGCCCGACTGTTTACTTTCCCCTCATCAATAATATCTATCGATCCGCTACCGATCTCTCCATATATCGCAGAACCAGATCCAGGGTGCTCTCCTCCCTCATCTCTCATGTCAAACGATTCTCGAGGGGTCCTGGATTGCAGGACCTCGAGAAAGAACTGACTTGCTCGGTATGTGCTCCGCATAATCATGCTGCTTCTTGCGTCATTTGCTTGGATCTTATCGACGGGTTTGATATCCACGAGGACCACAACGTCAACCCCCTTCCTTCGATCGTCGGCCTCGTGTTGGCGGTGGACAATCAGATAATATTTGGCAGCTCAATATTGGCGATCTCACTATTACTTACGTGACTTCTCACTGACTGGTCCTGGACGACTCACCATAGATCTGTACAGAACTGCTCTACCAACCTCTCACCCTCCTTAACTGTCTACACACCTTCTGCGGTTCCTGCTTGAAAGAATGGTTTGCTGCCCAGGCATCCCGTCGTCGGCCATCTTCATCCACCTCGCAATTCACCTGCCCAGCATGTCGGGCAGTAGTGCGCGATACACGACCCAATGCCACCGTTACTACGCTGTTGGACATGGTTCTAGCGGCCAATCCTGAGCGCGTCAAGTCGGCTGAGGAAAAGGAGGAGATAGCTCAGAAATACAAGCATGGCGAGTCGGTGTTTCCTGTGCTTTCGTCTCCGGGGCGGGATGGTACCGTGTCAGACAGCGAAGATCGACGGCTGCTGGAGGAGGTTCGTGAATTGAGTTTGCGAGAGAGCAGGACGGGGACAGGACAATCTTCAAGAAGCAGACAAGCCGAGAGCGTTGATGCTGATGGACGGCGAGCGGATGGTCGCTCAAGACGCCGGCGTGAGGAGGAGCGTGTACTGCGCCGACAGCCTGCGGCCCGTACGGAGGATAACTCGGAGAGAACGAGACGGATCGAACATCAGTCCAGTTTGCGGTCGCTGCTGAGCTTGTCCGATACCGAAACGATGGAAGAGGAGATCCTGCGACAGATCATCGAAGACGGACTGCTGAATGGTATCGACCTGGACAATCTTGGGCCGGCGCAGGAAGAGGAGTTGACCGAGCGCATCGCCGATGCTTATCGCCGAAGACACATGCGACGGTCGCGCTCACGGCAGAGACAAGAGGCGGACGAGGCCTCACAGATATCGCCGCGACCGCGTGCGAGGTCACAATCCGTGCAAAGGCCACCGACAGCGTCCGCTCCACAGACATCCTCGAGGAATCCACCAGTGTCAAGGCCGTATCTGCTGGAGCCACTTGTCTCGCGCTCGGATGGTTCTAATCATCAGCGGCGTCTTTCGGATCAGGGGACTCGGAGGAGGAGGACGTCGCCGGCTCCTGTCAATGCGGCGTCCACGTCGGAAGACACGTTGCGACCTGCTGCGAGGTCGTCCAGTGATATAGCTTCGGATCGTCCTCGTCCTTCTCAGTCCTCCCGAGCTCGCGCAGCCGAATTGTCGACTGCTCCGAGGCCACGACGAGCAACAGCGTCGGAGCAGAATGTCCCGAACATATTCACCCCAGAAGCCAGGAACCGCGATCATCGGCAACTTGTCTCGGGCAGACCACTCAATATCTCTCCTGCGTCGGTAGCTTCACCGAGCACACCGAATAATTCTTTTTCTGCGCGCTTAGAACAGACCACAGCCGGTTCATCTCTCTGTAGTTCTCTAGCACCGGCCGTAAGCAGCCCTGCCAACCAACGCTCTCGACCTTCCTCTTCTCGATCCCACGCCTCTCAACGTCCTTCAGCAACCTTCACCGAACCTTCCATCTCTTGCGATCGCTGTGGCAAGCAGAATATCCAATACGAGCTTCACAAAAAATGTCTACAATGCAAAGGTGGAAACTTCCATTTATGCTTGCGGTGCTATCGTCTCGGCCGCGGCTGTTTGCAATGGGCGGGTTTTGGTCCGTCTGCAGAAGCGAATTTCGACAGAATGCTTGCCTCCTCGACCGGTCGGGCTATACCACCGCGCGAGATAGCGCATGTCTTGCAATTTTCCAGATATTCACGACCGTCTGAAAATGTCCATCGCACAAGTGGCGGAACAGAGATGACTAGCGACGATCCAGCCCAGAGGTTGCAAACAGGACTCTTCTGTGACATCTGCCACGCTGTGGCAAACAAATGCTACTGGAAATGCAACGAATGCAACCAGGGGGACTGGGGCTTCTGCAATAAATGTGTTAACCAAGGACGATGCTGCACACACGCGCTTCTACCTGTCTGTCGACTTGCGCCTGGGGATCGCTCGAGCGTACCAGTACCTACCGGTAGTGACTCGACTGATGGACCTAACAATCCGTCGACTCCTTCTACCTCCGCCGATAACGAAAACGAGGCATACAGGATCCTCTCTTTCTCAACCAAGTGTGACATCTGTACATACCCCATCCCAGCGTCAGCCACCAGATTTCACTGTCTCGAATGCAATGAGGGGGATTACGACGTCTGCGCAAACTGCTACCTCAAACTCGTCGCCACAGGCAAAATCAGCAAAGAAAACGGTCACAATGGCTGGCGCCGTTGTGTCAGAGGCCACCGCATGGTTGTTGTCGGTTTCGAAGACCACAACGAAGGCCAGAGAAGGGTCGTCGTGCGCGATCTCGTCGGCGGCCGTGCCCTGAAAGACGAACACACAGCCGCCGTCCCATCCCCTGAAGTCGGAACCGGCGACTGGAGCTGGAAGGAAGGGTCTGAGCGACGAAAGAAAGCCTCTCGCGTGCGAACTTCCTGGACAACAACCAACAATGACCGCAGCAACTCATTCCCAATCAGTGCCACTGGTGGTAGCGGCTCTGGCTCGGGCTCACGCCCCAACTCCGAAACAGCCACGCCTACCAATTCAGATTCACCACCGTTCCTGCGCCGCTTCCCGCCCGACGGTGGAATCGGCCTCATCGTCCATGCCCTCTGGTCGTGGTATCCCGAGGACGATGTCCAGGATGAACTGATGTTTCCGCGCGGGGCGGAGATTACGGAGGTTGAGAATATCAACGACGATTGGTTTTGGGGCTGCTATGCTGGTCAGACGGGGCTGTTTCCCGGATCGCATGTTACTGTCGTTGGGGAGATCGTTTAGTTTTGTATGTTTTGTCATGGATATGGCGTGTATGATCTGCTTACTCAAGTATTGCATGGGAGACGACTTATGATTGATGTGTGATGTGTGATGTGAACATAATGCGACGAAAACATGAAATTTATGCGAGCTTTTGCATTTCATCGAGTTGTATTTCATGGTCTTCTCTAGCTAGGACTATCCCTATTTGAGCAAGGGTCCGGTTGCTCAATCATATCATATCTCAGCCATGGCGGGCCTGTAACCGCCAGAAGACATCACGCCGGAAAACGTATCATCGTGGTATCACAAGAAAGTAGCAAACCAGCATGGCAACAAAACCAAGAAGCCACCCATTAATAAACGTCAAAGTAAACCAACAGGGGAAAGAATTAAAGGAATCACACAAGTAACGCAACCATCAATTTCTGATAATCCCCGCTAGTTTCTCCGCGGACTCTGGCGACGAGATCTTTCTTGTACCGATGGTGGTACGCGCGCTTGACTTGATCCAGATGCTGTCTGTTCCAATGCACGCGCACGACCCGCACCACCAGCTTCTCATCCTTGGTTCCCACACCCCTCATGCAGTCCTCGAGCAGGTCCGCGTCCCGCATGGCCGGGTCCAGCGCGGTGCGGAGCATATGCAGCAGCGCGTCTTTCATATGCCCGGAGAATTCCTTCTCGATGTGGCTCTCTAGCGACGAATTGTACCGAGCGCTGAAAGCCTGGCTGATGGCGCGGAGCTCGGGGTCTGAGGCGCGGGCGAAAATGCCGCAGACTTCGTCGACGTTGTTGACGACGCGGCCGCTGGTTGCGGCGTGGATGGCACGGGCTTCCTGCTCGATGAGCTGGGGGTTGATCGGGTAGGAGGGTTCGTGGCGGTCTGCGCGGAGGACGAGGGAGAAGAGGGTGCGGGTTTTGAAGGAGAGGTCGGCCTCGACGTCCTTTTGGAGGGAGCGGTGGAAGGTGTGCTCGTAGGCGGCCTTGATGGCGTTGAGGTCGGCGTTTGAGCGGCCCAGGACGACGTCGTTCAGGAGCCATTCCTTCGTGCCGAGGCCTTGGACTGCTTCGCGGGCGGACTGCACGTCGTGCAGGAGCGGTCCGTCGATGATGGCGAGCAGGGCTTGTTGGAAGTAGCTGCTGGTTTCAGATTTGACGTCCTTGTAGAGGTTACGGTGGAGATGGTTGGTGTAGGTGGACCGGACGGCGGCCATTTGCAGAGGGTCTAGTTTGGAGAGCACTTGGATGAGCATCTTCTCGTCGGTTCCGAACCCTTTCATTGCTTTGCGGAGGAGGTCTGCTTCGCGGCGGAAGTCGCCCGGTGCCATTTGTCCAGAAATGTAACCCAGAGAAGGCATGGCGGGTGGGCCTTGGAACTGTTGCGGTGGTGGTGCGGGATAGCTGCTCCCTCCTACCGGCGGAGCGCCATAGGGTCCGGGTTGGTGATAACCGCCCGCAGGCGGAGGGTATCCAGGACCGCCTTGTGGAGGGTACGGAGGTTGCGAAGGAGCGCCATATGGAGGCTGAGGCGGCGGCGAATGGGGATATCCTGGTCCGGGAGCCGGAGGGTATCCGCCTGGCGACGGGGCAGGCGGAGGGGGTCGATTATACTGGCCCTGGGGAGGGGGCGGACCGCCGTAACCCGGTTGTTGGGGGTAGGGCGATTGTGAAAAGCCTTGAGGAGCTCCGTACGGAGGGTAAGGAGGTTCTGCAGAGAAGTCAGTCACATCTATAATAGGCAGCAGAATTCTGGTAGGGGATGCGGGGGCATACGATTTGGTGGGGGGTATTGGTTGTATGACATAGTCGGATTTCTTTCGGTTTATGGACTATATGTCAAGAATTCTGAAGATTTGACAAAGGGAAGGAAGTAATCGAAAGTAAAGAGAATGAGGGACAAATGGTCAACTTATATGATGAAATTAGTTCCTCTCTACGGAGTACATCTTCGTCATATGTCGGCTGTGCTCTTGGAATTTGCCTGAGAACCATGGCACCAAGGCATGTAATGTGGCGCAAGCAAGGCTGAGCCGCTTAGTCAGGTGGGCCGTTGCACGAACGGGCCACATAAGGCTGAATCTGTACAGCCTAAGTACGTAGATTTCCTTGGCTGTTCTATCACCTCCGTAGAGGAGCAATTGATATTTAATCACATGACCACAGTCAATCTGTTTGGTCGATACTCGATACTCAGCAACCCCTTGATACATCAGCCGCGGATGGAAGTGTACCTTCCAGGCTCCAGCCACTGACCACGGCCAATCCGCTCTGCACCGGAGGGATCATACAGTCCGCTTTGTATTGTCAACAGAACATATCTTCGAAGATGTTCGTTTTAGCAGGCACACTGGGTAGAAACCAAAGTCCACCAGCAAGAAAACGAGGGAGGAGATGAGAGGATGCGCCAGCAAGAAGGCGTTACCACTAGCCGTTAGCTAGAGCCAGATGATAACCCGTGATTTTACTGCCTCAGTCATAATATAGCCTCTGAGGCTTCCAATATATATATGTTAAATGGGAACGGGAAATTGCATGCAGGCTTGCATCCTGAGGTGCTATTCCAGGACACCGGCCCCGGGGAATTGACCAACAGGTTCAGCCAAGATATGGAACTCATGGACATGATGCTTCCACTCGTGGCGATCAACACCGCCGACTCGGTCGGGTCCAGCCTAGTGAAGCTGGGTATTCTGTGCGCGGTCAGCCGCTATGCAGCGGTGACGGCGCCCTTCTTCATCCTGGCGCTGTGGGTCCTCCAGCGGTTCTACCTGAATACCTCTCGGCAGGTCCGACTGCGTGACATTGAACCGAAGGCGCCGCTGTACTCTCACCTGCTGGAGACGATCGACGGACTCCCGATCATCCGGGCCTTCCAGTGGACGACGGATTTCGAGACAAAGAATGATCGGCTGAGGACCCGGTCCCAGATCCCCATTTACACGCTCTACTGCGTCTAGCAATGGCTGCAATCTAGACCCCCACAGCACCGCCTCAGACGCCGAGCTTATCCGTATCCTGCAAGCAATGTCCCTCTGGGAGCGGATCCACGCGCTGGGCGGCCGAGGCGCCGAACTCAGGGACACAGACTGGTCCACGGGTGAGCAGCAGTTACTCTGTCTGGGGCGGGCGCTGCTCTGCAGAAGGCGGATCCTCCTGCTGGATGAGGCGACGAGCAGGCTTGGTTCCCATCTCTTGCGGTAGCGTATTGTCTTGACCACTGACGGGTCATCAGTATGGACGCAGCCACAGCAACGTCAATGCAGCATGACCTAGAGGTGGCATGTCAGGGATGCACGGTGCTTGCCGTCATGCATCAACTCCAGCATGTCGGACGGTATGATCTGGTGGCGCTGGTGGATGCAGGCAGAATCGTAGAGTTGGACTCGCCGACGACGTTGCTTGCGCAAGACTCGGAATTCTCGAGATTGTACCATGCTCAGTTACGCCTCTAGCGGGCTCTTTGCAGATCACCAGTTCCGACTTGGACAGAGCGAAGTACATAGAGCCTGCCATAGATAGATCGTATCGATGTAAAATCAACGCCGAATGTCATTAAGATCTAGGGGGAGGGTCCCCAATGCGACCCTAAACCATGGATGGGGACTATATCTGGATATATGCACCAAAAGTATCAAAAATATGTCCTTCGTCTCACTGCTACTCATGTACTCCGTATTCCTTGCATTTGTCCAAGATTATAAAAGCAGACATTCACCTGGTCTTCCGACCCTCATCAGCCTTCTCTGCCTTCACAAAAGCTGCTCGCAGCTCTTTCGCAGCCTCCCAGAGCACCCAGAGCGGAATCCACACCCACAAGGTGTTAAAGAAGAAGAGGTAAAACCAGAGATACACAGGGTTACTGGTGTCCAGCTGAGAACTCCCAGTCAGCCATTCCGGCGCAAAGGTCATAAACCCCCCATACAGCTCAGCCGTCGCCAGCGCAGGCGCAACCAGCCACAATCTCGCCTTCGCAGCGCCCTTTGCCGACGCCGTCGACCGGCTGCTCGATGCTTTCCACAGCAAGTAGCACACGTACACCGCAGCCGGGCCGCCGAGGAATACAGTTAACAGCTCAATAGAGATGGTAGGAGCGTCAGCGACGGCCCAGCGACGGTCTGCTTTTGCATATTCCTGCCATAGCCGAGCGCTGGGGCCCGTTCCGTAGGCTGCGCCGTATACGCGGTCCTTGTGGCCTAGGAAGTATGGCTCTTTGCTGACTCCGGCGGGGAGCGTGGCGTAGCTGTAGAAGCATTCGTATAGGAAGGATCCTTCGATGAAGATGTGGGTCAGGGCATCGTAGGCGTGCCAGTAGAAGAGTATCCGGTTGCGCGTTTGAGAAGATGGTATCAGTGCTCTGCCGAGCAGGTAGGCGATAGGCATGAACGATAGAGTGAAGCCGATGCAGAGTAACGTCGGGACGTCGAGGGTGAAGGGAATGGTGGAAGACATGGCTCTCGTCCACTGTACGTCTGTTTGAGCTAGAGTAGGTTGCAGAACGGAATATGCACGCTGTGGATTAACGGGACGGTTTTCAAGTAATAGAGCTTTTCCTCTAATATATCACATTGAGATTGTCCTGTCTGTGGATTGAAGAGTGACTACGGTGTAGAGAGAACAATTCAACAAACCCCTGATTTTGAAACACTAGTCGCGACTACGTAGTGTATGCCTTAGGCATACATACTACGGAAATAATCTCCACTTCCTTTGTTGATCTTGAGCTATTTTCACCATCGTGTATTTCGTCTGTGCTAAGCGATGGCATGACAATTGTTCCCTTCTGAATCGTCCGCCTCGACTGGGGCTTCAGTCCTGTCTTTAAAGGCTTGAACCCGTCAAGCTTGCAAGGTTGTGCTCTCTCCCCCAGACAATAAATGAAGCGCCTAAGCAATCCCCGCACCAGTTTCGCCATGTTTGTATAAGATGATTCTTCAGAAATGTCCATGTACTGACATGAAGCGCGCTTTGTAGATATTTTACAGGGATGATTTGATACCTCCATTGCTTAGAATGCAATTCGTAAAAAATCAAAAAAGTAGTCACGCCCGGGATCGAACCGGGAACCTTCTCGGTATCCTTGAAGAAGCTCACTTTTGATTGTGAACGAGAAATCATAACCATTAGACCACGTGACTGTTTCTTGTTGGAGGATTAATGATATTATAATTCATAAGCAGCTGTTATCGACGAACCATTATTGCTCTCAATCGAGAGATTCCTTGTTTCGATAGTAGAAAACCGCACATGTGATGAGATCGAGAACTCTTGTCCCGCCCATCATCCGCTGACTATACTACGCCCGCGGTCGCAAGTCCAAAATGCATCTAGGACACATCCAGCAAGCTGGCCCATCGACTATTGATATAGGTCCGGGAAATTGGTCACAGCTTCTCATGATGTCACCCGAATCTGAAGCTGCATCTGTCCTGAATATCGACTGCAGTCGGACAGTCTCCTGCCATTCAGATGTTGCTCAGCACGCCACAGATGATCGTCTGTCACCCAGATGCGGACCCCTGCTGCCTACCCGTTCCGTGACTCAATTCGGGGCTCCTCTGCGCCCTGTGATCACGAATGAAGATTTGCCCTGACAGTATGAACAGTCATAGAGCTTGCGCAGACTATAGTAGACTTGTTTTATGTTCGCTTTAAATCAGTCACCGGGCGACTCTCTGCTTACGCATTCTGACGCGTGCATCGTTCACGTGGTGGCCTCATGATCATTTCCAGAGGGCGGAGCTCTTTAAATGCAGAGATGCGGGCAGGCTGAAGCCAGAATTGCTTTCTGTGATATTATTGGGAGAATCTGGATGGCGATTTTTGTCTCTCGTTAAGGAGGAGGTCGAGATACTTGGTCGATTTCTTCACTTCATCTTCTGCATAGGGAGCATAGCGTTTATCGTTGTACGAGAAAGATAATCTTTTGTTTACTCTGGTTTTTCAACATGCCACACCTGCGTCATCACCGAAGACGCCACTCCTGGCCCTTTGGCAGTCCAGCAGCGCAGCTGCGCGAAAGAAGAATCGCCCGGAATTCCAGCGCACTAGATCCCTCGACGCTCGCGGAGCTCGAAGAACACTACTTGGCGCCCATCGTCTCCGAAGATCTACCGGAGGACGATGCTGCGTCTGCCGGCATCGTGCGGACGAAGACGACGCGGTCCCACCGATGGTTTGCATCGAAGCATGCCGTCCGACATCATACGTCTTCGCAGAGAAGTGCTACGATGAGCAGCGGCACAGGCTCGCTACGAAAGATGATTCGTCCACCGCTGGATAAGGCTCGATCGTTGTTCGTTTTGCCTACAACTACTTCGGCTGAGGCACAGGTGGTGGTCTCGCTCTGGGTGCCTCAAGCGGCTGAGACACAACCGGCTGATATGTTCGCTGATCGGGGAAGAACTGCTACAACAACTGCCGACGAATCTGAATACTTGGCGGTTGAGAGAAATCACCGGAGGTGTCATTCAGAGCAGCCGCGGTCGTGGAGGGCCCCGAGCGCGAGTCTGTGGACACTTTTGGAGGAGTGATCGATGAGATTTCGGGTGCTCCTGGCGTTTGGTGTAGTTGCTTCTTCAATCCTCATGGTTCATCTGCGGTCTGATCCTGGTTTCTACCGACGTATTGAATACTAGTGAAATTCACCCTCACTCTCACTCCACAATATAGATATTTCTGGAACATGGCAGGCCGGGAATTGCTCCACGCTGATATATAGCCAATATCCTAGTCTTGCTTATGTGAGTTATTGCATTGTTTATCTTAAGTGGGGTATATGTTCGCCCCTTCTAGGATAGTATATGCAGAGTATTGTATGCGTAAGCAGTGATATTGCCTCTGTTGGCTCCAAGTCCTTCAATCATGCCTTGATATCGTCCCACGAGACCCAACCATATTCAAAGGCAGTACCAGCACCAATCTCGATCCATTAATGAAACATCAAGCGCCAGGTTAGATGTGTGTGGTCAATCTCTGGCCGGGGGATTGAATGAACCTTATTCACGAAATCTAACCCAGGTGATCTAGGGCCATAGTTCCTTTAGCACATTGGTATCTTTTTTTTCCCTGGGAAAATGATCGGAACAAACGTGCCGAGGAGAAAAATCCTTGACTGTTTAACTTGGCAGGCAATCAGATGATGTCATATAAGTGGAAATTACCACGTTGCTAGAGAGCTAGAGCCTCAAGTGTGGAGATGTTCATTTCCTTGTTCGCACTTCTGTTCTTGGCAGGCGCTCAGTACTTGGCAGTAGATACTGGCAGCAGTAATCATGTGTCCTGGCTTCAGAAGGTGCATGCGGATAGTCACTATCCTTCAGTTGTTCGAGGTAGGTCTCCATGGTCAATCGAGTCAGACACTGAAACGTGTCAGACAGCCGGAGAATCGAACAAACTCCCCTCAGCCGAGAAATCTTTCTACCTAGCAGTGACAGACTCATCCTGGACTAAATACATGTACTAGCGCATAGACGATAGAGCATAATGATAGGCTCCTCATTTCCTTTGACCACTTGCAATGCGAGATTCATTCGCTCTTGGGGGCCAGATGATGTGATTGGACCATTTGAGTTGCCCGATATCCTTCTCGAAGCACGCTAGAACGGCCCTACCACCCTAGGTGGGTCTCGGGCTGTCAGCTGCTTCGGCCTTCTCAGTCGATTTGTTTGACATGTGGGGAAGTGAAAGAGAACGATGACTGAGAGAAGGGTCATTCTAGAGGAGAATTTCAGCGCAGTCGATCATTGACAGCGGAAGTGATACGTGTCGTATTCAAGGTTTTGGCACTCTTTATCTTCATCCATTCATGAAGGTCGAATGACTACCAGGTGATATTGTTGTTGATGATTCAGGCCACTAGGCAGAAGCGGTGAATTTGGTCCTTCTGGGGAATAAATCTGCAGGTGTCGAAACAGCAATTGGCTCTTCGTCAACCTTGTAGGGCAGAGGGAGTGGGGCCAGCCGACAGTCTCACCGACTCTGGAAAGTCAGAATCGTTGGCAGCTCATGATTCGTCAATGGGAGCAGGGACCCCGTGCCCCAGAAAATGACAGTCCCGTCCTCATGGCTCGATGATTGGACGACGGGGAGGGAGGAGATAGGTAATGAAGTTGAGTGTCCGGAGTACACCGTAAGAGGATGTCGATGCTGGAGCTGAGAGAAACATAAATATGACTATCTGTCCGCGGCTTTGGTTAGTCTTTGTTCCACTCTTGATCCTCTTCTTCCAAGTTCAAAGTCCCAATCCGGGTAAAGACCTTACATACCTTTTCAAATCTTTCTGAATATGAAAGATCAGCACCGTGCTGGTCCCGCAAAAATCGAGCAGAACAATATCCATCGTCCACTTTCTCACACAACCACTGTGTCCTCATCCAACTCCTCTCAAAGCGACAACACCACTGAAGCTCTCCGCCAATCCTCCCACAGATTCTCCTTCCCGTCTGGCGCAAGACTATTTCGTCCTCGTTCAAAGTCGCCCGCAGCAATTGGCACAGAGTTGCCGATAAATCGTACTCGTCGCTCCACGTCCGACAGCTACGGGGAAACAATTCCTAGAAGCGTCCCTACTTCTTGTGACAACATCCCTCGACAGTCAACGAGCCCCACCGCAATGTCTCCCATCGAGCCCACCAGCCCGATTTCTGCTGGCCTGCAGAAGCGCGACTCGGGATCGTACAGCTCCCATCCCAGAAAGAGCGGCGAAGATCATCGCCGCTACAGCGGAACTGTGAACCACTACGGCCGTCATTCCAACGACTGGTTGTTCGGTGGGTTCAGTCTGCGGGACACCGTCCGTGAGGGCGTCGATCGCTTGCGTCATGGAAAAGAGAGCTGAACGTCACGTTTTCGTATCACTTTTGTCTCTCCTTTGGTCCTCGACTTAAAAATCCAAAAGGATATTCCCGAATCAGTTCACTGTCAAACAGCATCATAGACAAGACACTCACCGACGGATATCTTGAACCCACCAGCAGTGAACGGTATCCTCTTCGATAGGTTATCACTTTCTCGGCATAGAAGAGCATCGAGGTCAACCAACGCAAGAAGATGCATCAAACCGAGACTCTACTCCGGCCAATGCAGCATCAACGATTGGACATTCCAAAGACAAAACGGCATGCATTGGCTGTATTCATCTCGGCATTCCGTCATTCAGTCGACATGCACCTATAACTGGTCTTGATTGTCTTTATGATAGTGCATACTACTGTATTTCCATTCAATTAGCAATCTTGGTCTCTTCGCATCTTTGTTAAATTGAATGTTAAAGCCCAGTGCATGGACCACATACCTTGCTCAGTAAGCCCGACCATTATCTATCACCACTGTAAAAGCCAAGACAAGAAGGTCATCAACAACATCAACCACCACTCCAGCAGGAATCCATCTTTTGAGATCCTGAAGCAGATTTCGGAATAATGTTCCATGAAACAGTAGTCAGGGTCACCACATCCACTTAGCGTTTTGACCTAGCCGGCAACCCTGGCGCCTTTCATCCCGGTCTACTCCGTAGTTGTCAGTAGTCATACGCAGATTGAGTAGCAAGTCAACAACCAGTTTTACAAACGTACCAAAATTCCCAAAACAGCAGGAGCGCACATTGAAGGCAAAATGGGTCAGGTAGTCCACCTTCCTCTGCCTTGCATCAATTAGCCGTAACTTGTAAGTGCTCCGTAAGCGGGTCAGCTCTCAGCTTCCACCAGATCGACCACTAGGCGTGCCCGATCGTCTAGAACTCGCAGGTGACGCTCTTCAGGCCGATATTTCGAAATATTTGTCAGGAACTCGCCTGCAGTTTTGTCTTTTTTTCGAATTCGAATGCAAATCCACGATCATGATTGCTGGGTTCTTGTGCCGTAGTCTATTCTACTGCAAGCCCATGTGGGATGGGACCGTCAATAGTCGGCAGCTCCCAAGCCCGAGTCCACACTCCACAGCCGCAGGCCCGCAGCTTAGGGATTTGAAGCTGAAGCATTCATTCACCGAGAGGATTTACCGGTATTTACTACGAGGGTACGGGGGGAGTTTGATGAATTTAGTGGCTAATACCGTGTGCTATGGCCATCTATGGAATAATAACTATCATCAAACAGTAGAATAAATATTGGTGTCGGTGGTCCGGCAGGACGTCTCAGGGGCGATAACAAGAAAAAAGGGGCAATCATGGGATACCAGTCGACCCAAAAGGGGAAATTTGCCCAAAAAAATACATTAAAACGCAGAACGCCGGAGCCAGAATAATCACGAAATTCCAGTTCTCCAGCTGTACTCCTTGTCCCGTAACAGTAATGTGGCCCCCGCCGTGTTCGTGACTTGGAGGCGTCCGGCCGTGTAATCATGGTAACCCTTGGATCTATGAAGGGTGATGTGGAAACAAGTCCCATAATCGAGTGAGACTCGAGAGATGCTCATGCCGCTCTCTGCCACGCGGCAATGTCAGCCGATGTTATATCGATATTTTCCGCCGTCATGTCCTGGAGCTTAGAAATCTGCAAATGCGCTGGAACCAGGTCAGCCCGTGGTCACAATGAAAGACATGCAGTGTTGTGCAAGGCCTGTGAAATGCAAATCCAAGGACAATACGTACTTGGGCGTTGCACGGCTTCTGCTCCTGCATGGACATGGATGACCCCCGAGTCGACATACTCCTTTGTGGTGACTCCGCTGTGAGAGGCAGCACCGAGGATCACTCGAATTCGGTACCGACCTGGCTGCGCAATGCTCAGCGGGCTGAACTTGGCAAATCCGCTCGTCGTGTTTCCGTTTCGACTGCGCACGCTGGACGTTAGTGTCCCCGCCAGTCCGGTGGCCGCAGCCGCTCCCGTCTCGCTCCTGAGCGATGCGTGCGCAACCATGTGCTGGACTGCTGGGTTCACTAGGTTGCCCACGGGCCTGACTGCCACAATTACTGGCAGGGTAAATGGCGTCCCAGGACGAACAGCAGCTGGGGGCTCAATCTCAAATGTGATGCCGAACTCCCGACTGGAGCTTCCCCGGGAACTTCCTCCTTTGCTCTGAACCATTTTTGCAAGCCTCCCTTGTTAGAGATCGGTATGGTCTTTGTTATCGTACCGGACAGAGCAATTCGATCGAGCGAGCTCGGGCCCAACTTCAACAATGCAAGTAACCTATATCTTTAGCCTGAAATGGGATATCGAGATAGAAGGAATCCAACATAGCACAAGCAAGAGGATTGACCAGACAATTGATAGAGACAATGGATCTTGAACCAGCAAGCAAAAGGTAGGATAATAATGGGCTCCCGAGGGTGGTTCATATGTTGAGTGCCGGCCTCATATAGACTGAACCCTACCGCAAAGGGCATCATAACATATTTCCAATTTGGAGGACAGTGCTGAATACTGTCTTACCAGGTTTGCCACCGCAGAGAAGGGAAAAAAAAAGCTAATCTCAATAGCTCCCTTGAAATGCAAGATTAGCGAGAATGCAGATCTGCGTGGAATTACAGTTATGTGCTGACGCTGGATAAGGGCCCGCAAGCTTGTCCCAGTGTTTACTGGATTTTGGGTTCGGATGAATACCGAACCCATAAGCATGAAACGAAAAATTCATTGTTCCTGCAATATGGGCATTTTGGGAAAGTGGAACCCACATCTGGGCCTTTCCTCTCCTGTTCCTCTAATCGTCTTCTCATTCGTTATTATTTTCTCGAACAGGTGGTGTCGTGCCTCTCTCCATATTTGTTTTTCTTGGCCTTGTGCTGGCACCATCTCCTCAAGCGAACGCCACTCTAACGCCGCATTTAATAAACACGGATATAGTTTCCACAGCGCTAAAGCAACTGAGAATTCCCGGAAATCGAGCAGAGAGATGGATGGTAAGGTCGAGATGTCAGATCCGCTTCGGGGAGAGCCAATCGAATTGTGAAGCACAAGTTGCAAATCCTTGCGCATCATGCGAGATCTATGACGCATTCCACGGGTATCTCGGACGCTCACCTTCACATCCGTATTCGCAAACAGTAGACCATTGTATCAGTGGACCTCTGGGGAAGAGGTGGCTCATGCTTCACCCTTTGGACTTGAAGATGGATGGTCCATGAAGTTCCCTTGCTTTCTTGTGTGGCCCCGAGAGAGATACTCAATGCTGGAAAGGGATGAATGATGATACAAAGCTGCATCCATCACACATTATCGGAAGGATCATGCTTGTTCACTGTATAATGTGCGAGTCAATATGTTGTGGCAATCGCAGTGTTTCTACGAAACCAGGACATTGGACATCCCGTCAAACAATGTACAGCGTGACGAAGAAATTTTCGATAGCTAGACTTTCTTCGCTATCCAATGGAGTTCAGAACCTGGAGGAACAGACAACCGGGCTAGAACAAAGCATGTCCTAGTTTCCGCAGCGGTACGCAAAGCTTTCCGTTCTTGTATCGGAGAATGGTCAGAAGGGATAGTGAACCAAGGTAGTTGTTTACCAAAATCACAAAATTGCGCCAATTGAATTCAATCCCTGTACCCTGGATGGGGAAGCAATCTCGGTAATCAGAGATGGATCACAGTGATGCGGGTAACAGGGACAATTTTGGACAATGTTGGGCCAGCGATTTCGCCACACCTCCTTCCGGTTTAGTTCTGGCCACAAGCCACAGTTCCCCACCTCAGCCTCACCCAGACTTCTTTAGCAGGTTTGTCTCTGCCTTTGTTTTGTTTGCATGTCTCTTCCATGGTCGTCACCTTGCTGATTCGCGCTATTGGATGCAGTTGTCTTTTCCAAGCTCCCACATACTAAACCGCTGCCTGTTTCCATCGTCGATCATTCCATACTTGCTTCTTGTGAACCTAAACTGTCATGAACTGCAGTCCTTTCTACAGGATTCCATCCTAGGATCCCCTGAGCTTCCACGAGGTCACCAGTTGTTCCGACCAATCATTGACTACTGACCATCATATTAACAATATGGTCTAGAGTGGCCATTATCTGCTTGATGAACTGCTATTATCGTAGTGGTCCCCCGCAGCCCGCAACGGACTAGTGGAGTAAAATTCCAGGGACCAGGCTTCTCCTGCTGCGCGGTGTGCAGGGACACAATATTAAGGTATTGCTTGTGAACAGTTGAGTCAAATCTCTATGACAGGAAACAGGACAAAGGTAGGCTCATTGATCGACAGCCGGCACAGTATGAGAAATTTTGTTGGATCTGCATTGTCCCTCTGACAATTTGTGGGGCATCCTCGTATTTGCTTTTCCTCTCATGCACGGTGCAATGTTCGATGCCGTGGAGCACTCCTTGACGACTTGAGACGAGATCTACCATCCACTCCGCGTACGACCAATAGTACTTTGCGGATCGTCGATTCAGCATGATAACACACAAGCCACCTGTGGCTGAAGTGGCTCACGAACGGTCAGTTCGTGGCGGTGAAACCGAGGAATCCAGGATCTCTACAGGGCTTTTCCCAGGAGGAAACATTGGTTCGGTCTCGCCTGGAGCTCTGGGCCTCATTCTACTGCTTTGTCCAGATCTGTGGTCTAATAGCGTGGTTGCTAGGCCGGCATAATGCCTCGTTGATGTCGTGTGATTACGCTTTGACTCTCATACTAGGCATTCAACAGGATGTTCTCGCAAACGTCATCTGTCTCACGGATACAGTTTCCTAAACTTTGCCTTTCCGTGCCTTTGCGTCCCCTTCCTGGTCTGCATTGCTGAGTTCGCGAGATTCGTCGGACTGGGACTATCCGCCCATGAGTTCTTGGATCTCGAGACTCGCTTCAGCCTGTTCACACCTTTATTCATTGACTTAGCGTGTGGAGGATCTCTTTGGGATGATACAATGATATCTGGCACGCGCTATCGCAATGCTCGAATGAATGTGGAGAATGTTACTTGAAGATCTCCTACCAAAAGCGCAACTCGATCCTCGGAGCCTGAGACCGCATGGTACCGGTTCTTCTGAATGAGGTCACACATGGACAAATGATCTTCTTGTTTTAGCAAAAGTATCAATCTCACACAGTTGGCAAGTCTCGAAAATCGCAATGTTGTCCGGTGGACTGCAAGGCATACCATAGCCCCAACGGGAACGCGCATCTCTTTGCGTAATCGAGTGAATCATGTGTTGCTTCGCCGGACCAGATTTGGCCCCAGAAAAAAAGTGTTAAACTGCACCTTTGCAGTCAGTCACAGAAGAAGTCTTTATCAGCCAAAAAGTACCACTACTGAGGTATGTACGTTGCACAGGTGACAGCAGTACTCCTGGCCGCAGTGATCCATTGCCCCGGCGAATGGGATGGTCTGGGAGGGCACGAGATCGTCGCCCGGTTGAACCGTGCGCCATAAGTCAGACTCGCATTTGTGTCATGACTCGTAAGACCAACCTCAAATCAACAAAGTACCTTAATCCATCTCATCCTGTTGAGAGGGACTCCAGCATTGCACAGGGCTGCTCATGCACCCCGTCCCGAATAGGGACAAAGTTTACAGACCACAAAAAAGGGGACGACTTATTTTCAGAGCGTGATTAACTAGTGAGGCTGTGTTTCGTTCCAAGAAACTGTCTCAACCTTATTTTGTATTAACTCACTTTAGGTTCTGTTTCGATGATCCTGTGCGGTTTAACCCCCAAAATGTGGGCTCTGAGAGGGCGTCCCGGCCGAAGCTCAGGACTATGAAATAGCTCTTATCGGAGATTAGAAGCTGGTGCTGGACACTGATCGACCCAATCGTCGCGAAAGATTGGAGATCATCCCTACTTTCTACGGACAGTCGACTGAGCGAAAGTTTTCCTTTGCTTCTTGCAGAAAGAGAGGTGGTCACACTAGTCAAACTCCTGGTATTATTGACAATCTTTGAATAGTGTCGATCATGAGATGCCAATAGCTCAGTCCTCTCGGGCTCTCTCCGTTAATCCGACGCAGGGGGATCAGCAGCCAATAAGTGTATCAACGTTACACAAAAGCAAGGAACCTATATCCTTGGCACCAGCCCTATGTTATCCCGAATGAGAGTATTGCCATACCCTACCGGAACACAAACCGCTACAAAGCAGATGTGCAACGTTTGAGCTCCCGCATGTGCAAATGCTCACCTGACGGCCTTCAGTTTCACCATCAAAGAAGGCTTCTGCCAGATGATATACGATGTCTGATCATCCCAGTCGCGGCAGTCTTCATGGAGGGTCATGTCAAAGTTCCAGACCAGCTTTGCAACGATGAGGCGCATTTCAGCATAAGCGAGACTGTATCGAGGGAACAAAAGCCCTTGTCAGTAATGAGTCGAGGCAGGAGAGAGTGCAGCAACATACTTCTTGCCTAGGCAATTTCGAGGACCAAAGGAGAAGGGTTGCGAAGCCTCTCTGTTATCCGTTTCAAACCTAGGATCCCTGTTTTCCAGCCAACGCTCAGGAATAAAAGATTCGTGCTCGACGAAATTGGATTTCGCCCGAGAAGCCGAGAATGGTACTACAGATACAGAGACCTATCGAAGCGGTTAGCGGAAGGGACGTGTCAAATGATCTTCAAGACTTTGCGTACACCTCCCGGGACATATTGTCCATCAATGGCAGCGCCCCCCATCGGGACCTTTCTTGGAAGATATCCTGGCACAGGAGGATATAATCGTAAGCTTTCTTCGAGTACAGCGTGCAAGTACTGGAGTCTTGCCACTGAAAGGAAGGTGATATCGTCTTGCTTCTGAAAAGCCCCCCTGATTTCCTGGACGAGCTTATTGTACTTTTCAGGGTGTTTCAGGAGATAAAAAGTGCAGCCGGACAGCAAGGTAGCGGTTGTCTCACTCCCAGCAAGAATTAGAACACCTGCATTCGCTTCTATCTCCTGCCGCGTCATGCCTCGTTCGTCATTGTGTCTGAGAATGCAGGACATGAAGTCCGGTCTGCTAGCCTGCAGGTCAAGCCGACGACCGACTTTGTCCTTACTCATGCGCCAGTGCTCATTTCTCATTTTCGCAGCCTTCTTTGGGAGTAACCTTTTAACCAGCGATTCTAGCAACGGATAAAGATGAATGAGTCTCAGGTAGACGCTCATTTTCACACTTTGGAAAACCATCTTCACCCAGGGGTGGTAGCGATTGTCCCGGAGGCAATCGAACGGCTCCCCGAAGGCCAAATCGCCAATAATATCAAAGGTGGTGTAATTGTACCACTTCATCATATCGACCGTGCTTCGCGAAGCAGCGCATTCAGCACGTAATTTCTCGACGAGAAGATCGACATAATGCTGTACGAGCGACTCCTGTTCTCTCAAAGCTTTCTCGGAGAATGCATGCGACAATAGGCGCCGCTGTCTGGCGTGATCGGCGTCACCAGCTGTAAGTATATGCCCGCCGTTCGGGCTGGGGATATAGTACTCGGGATCCTTGATGAACGAACTGGCACCATGTTTCCGGTGGCCGTAAATGTCTTTCCAAGCGCCAGCGCTTCGGTACACCAGGGTGGAGGGTGAAATGCGAACAACATCGCCATACTGGTCATGCAATTCTTTTAACTTGGCATGTATTTTCCCTGAGATTGTCCACCAGATGTAGCATATATTCGAGCACGCCGCGAGCTTGGGACCTGGGAATTTCCGAAGCGGGTGAAGATAGATATTGTAGATCGCCCGTCCAAACAGAACTGCTAACAACTATTATACTTATGGGTCAGCAGGTTTCCAGTCATTGAGGCGATTCGCACCCACTAGAGATAACACAATAGATATTGGAGTCATCTTTTCTATATTGCGTCTTTCAGGAGTTTGCGTGGTCCGGATTCTGATCCAGGATGGACACAGGCTTAAATAACTGGCCACAAACGAATCCGCCGAGGTAGCATCACCGGGGCCCCCTGGTCCAGCAGTAGTGCTTCAGCTTATTTGCTCGTTTGCTTCGAACCCTTGTGTGTGACATTGGTAGAGCTAGACTAGATGCTTGACGGCTTGATAGACCGATCACGATGTCCGATGGGATGTCAAAGTGGGGTAGCGTAAAGGCATAACTGTCCAGTGTCACAATGACACTCTCCACTTATGCACGGTTCATGACTCGTGAGGTTAAGTCGATTCTCTAGCACGGCTATCTCGGCTACAGGCAGTGGAGGCGAAATGGCGCATATTTTTATGCTTAGGTTGGTGTTATCGCCGGACAAATCCGACGGAGATCAACCGATGGACATCCATACACTAGGCTAAGATTTAGCAATGTTGTGAAAATGCATAAATAAGCATTGTCGCACTCACCACTGAGAGTGATCGGAACGCCTTAGATCTAAGCACAAGTATCAATACATATGCTGTATGTATGCGAATGCGCCTCTAGCAAGGGACCGGCAACGGATGCGATACCATACATGGCCCTGAATGGGTCACAATAATGATGCAACCACTGCTGATATCCGCCGATCCTAGACCAGCGATGGCACGACCGATGGTCACGGCATCATTTTCAGGGGCAGATCGATCGGTTTCCTGAGCGCAATTGATTTGACATGAACCTGGAGCATGCAGAAACAAAACTCATTCTGGCTTGACTGATGGTCTGGTTCACTCTGGAATCGCGGATGAGGCATTTAATATCACCAAGCAGTGAGTGTATATCATGTAGGAGAAACCACAGTGATGTTTCACTTGAGCCGGGGCCCAGGAGAGTAGATCTGCTGCAATCCTCAGGCTCGAAGTAGAAAGGGAGACGGAAAGACACCTTCCTTCCATTTTGGGCTCCAACTGCTCTCTGCGCCCTCGCTCACGTGTCGTGACGTTGACTCCAACCACTGAGCTATCTCATGCAATATGGATGACTTCGCATCTAAGAACAGTATTGTTATCACAATGAACACCTGGCCGACGCTCGGTTATCTGTCAGATGGCGCCTGTCCTTCACACACGATACTATCAATCCTTTTCTGTTTCCCATTCTTTCAAAAGCGCTCACGCACGACCAATACGGGTCACAAGGTACATTAACTTGAGGGTACTCATCCAACTGTTTGTGGGAACGATCTGCATATTTGTGCTAGCAGTTTTGTTCTGGAAAATTGGTCAATTCTTTCGATTCCTCACTCGGGACCGAGTCGTCAGGCAGGGAAAGACTGTTAACACTCGGTACGCGAGGACCTGGTATGGCTGGGTACCATTGCAACGGCACGAGTTCCACAAGAGGCTTTTCCAAAGATGTTTCCGAAGATTGCATGACTGGACGGCCTGGAGATCATCCAAGGCCGACTTTCGCTGGGTCTGGTGGGATCCTGGCCAAAAGGAGTTGGAAAAGTACAAGAAAAGGCGAAGATTCCTCAGATGGGTGCCGAAATGCTTCAGAAGCTACGAATTCACGACAGCGGATGCCATCTGGAACCCTGGTCCTCCAGTTGGGCGTTATCCGGCGCCTGGTGAAATTACAGCAGAACGTCTCTGCGCAGGAAGGCACACTCTTTCAACTCAGAACCTGTGCAGGGCTGTACTCAAAGTATCAGAGAGACAAGGTTGTCATAAAATGTCGTCGAGTCAGATGTCATTGTCCGATCGTTCTCAATTATCGCTGGTTGCATCAAGACAACTGGATAGAAGACTCGAGGGAAATTCAACGACTGACACAATCCAACTCCGAGATCTCCGCATACTCTATAACCGTGGTGGAATGCCCTTGCCTTTGAATCATTCAATATACGTACGCAAAGGCAACCGTATGGTCCTGCTTTTCCCTAACCGCACTATAGCGATGCGACAAAATCTTTCCATGCCGTGTCTTTTGAGTACAGGACCCGGTCGTTCAAGGCTCGTCGATCGCTCAGAAGGATTTTATACTGGCCAGAATTTCGGGCATGGGGAAGTTGGCTCTCGCTCGATTCAGAAGAGACCTCGTGCTCTTGCGTACCAGATGTGGTCGGCTCGCATGGAACTTCAAACGTCAAAATGCATTCGTTACAACCAGAGCCCGCTTCTCGGTCCTCCAGGGAGCCCCGAATCTGGACTCCTTGGCAGTTTCTCGTCCGAACACGCTGCATTGTTGGACTTGGTCCCAAGGACCTTTAGAAGAAGTATCGCCAATCCCTCCTCCGACGCAACCAGTCATGCCGTATCCATGAAACGACACGTTGATCATGACAGAGGCGACATGGCGGATAAAAGCGCACGAGGTACTGAAGCTGAAGGTGAACACCGACGTTTTACGCGACAACTTCACGTCGATAATAGTTCACGTCGAAGTGCAGAAGTCAGAGATTCGGGGCTCGAGGCTGTGTCTCCTGGCGCCGTTCAGAGCTCTCCACGCTCAGATCGTGTAGAGAGACCACGGAGCTTGGACGAAACTAACAAGAGCAAGAAGCCGCGGAAGAAACATCAACCAAAAGCCAGGCATCTGGCACATGGAAAGGTACCTTTACGAAGTCTAAGCACCTGGGAGGCGAGGCTAGCGCACGACCTGAATCGAAAATTGGAATGGCTCTTCGAACAGCTTAGTCCTGGTCGTAGGCCTTTTCACTTTGCCTTGCTTGCCAATCACTGGCTAAATAGAGAGACTTGGGTTGTACTCGATCCTATTTCACGGATCCCCATTGAAGCAAGACGTCTTTGGGGAGATCCACGATTCAATTCTCCATATCCAATACCTTGCTGGGGCCCGAAAACCAAATATCCCGAGAGCTCTTGCAGAACAGCCAACAGACCTCATTTGAATTCATGGAGGGTTGCTGTCAATCGCAATCGCCGGGCGTCAGGACTTCGAGATGTCGTCAAGGGCGTCGCTTTACTTGAAGACTCCGCAGATGAACCACCGGATGGGAAAGTCGATCCCGCAAGCTGGATTCTTCGAAAGCCCCCGCAAGGTTTTGCAGTGTCAACCATGCAACAAGACGCATACTACGAAGGAGGAGCAGGTTGGCAAGAAACCCTCGGTGACTGGCAAAGGGTGCGCCGTGGTTATCGAATCCGTAAAGCGATCTATGAAGGAAGGGCCAATCGAACTAGGATGAAGGAGATAGCGGTTGGACTTACCCGGTACTTCCAGGCCATAACAAATGAAGTTTTGAACACTCCCAAAACAGACGTCGCGTAAGAGATACCAGCCGCCGGACATTTCTCCAAGGCTTGCATCAAATACGGCGAAATGCGGAGAGGTTGACGAAGCGGTCTGTCGTCCATAGGTCAGATAGATATCATATTGACGCTACTGGGGAATTTCCACTCTGTTCCCCGAGCGTTCTAGGACCCAGTTTATCATTTATTGTTATACGCATATGATCAAGATATCATCTTAAAAGAAACGAGATCTCTGTAAGTGAAATGTGCTCTCAAATTTGTATGAATGCATTGTAAGCCGAATTGAAAACCCATCGCAGTCATTGTGTAATCTCCCAATAGCCGAGAACTCCGATTTGCTTCCCTGTATCCTTTCTAGCTCGACCTCATCTTCATCAGAGGATCTAGGCGATAAGGGCGGTGGTGTATTGTACAAACATTTTCAGCGGATCGTATGGACGGTTCTGAAGAGTATTGCGCGTCGAAGAAAAGAACTTAGAAACCAGGAGGGTTCAAGCGCTGGCTGACTCTTGTCCACTTGGGCAGTTCTGAAAAGAGAGTTGTCAGCATCCTTGTATATTCCCCTCACAGAGAGTGTAGAATTGATAATGCTAAGACAAACGTACTGTGAATACCCTTCCTATAGGTCTTCTCCTTTTTATCGAACAGCGTGTACTTGTCCTTGGGCAACATCTCTTCCTCCCGAGGCATTTCCGCATACCACCGATCGACGGCTTTTGTGCTCTGGCCGTTTCGTCGCAAGGCGGCGCTGAGGGTATCGACTACCCGGTCAACGGCGCGTAGACGTTTCCGTTGCCGTGCTTTCTGGGGTTGTGAAATACGCCATGGGATCTTCCTGTTCGTTTGTTCCAAGGTGTCAATCGTTAGTCGTGTGCTTTATGGAAGTGAAAAAAAAGGGCAGTGGAAGAACCACTGCAGAGGCTGCATCGGAGGCTTGGGACATACCAGAGAAGACCCGAGAAGAGCGGTGACGAGGCCTTGAACATCTTGACGGTAGCCTGTCAAGTTGTTCGCTGAAAGTGCTGCAAGAATCGCACTGTCGCTGTCAATGATGGGCAGATTCGGGCGAAAATACTGTACTCTGGAGGTTCGGAGGTGCTGGGTGGTCCGTGCTCGCCTCCGATCTCCGCGGCCACAAAGCCAAAGCCAATGAAGGCGTCTCTTGCTTTCACGCCGCTCGTCTCTGTCTGGGGGTTTTATGTAGCTCTCTTCCCCTCGTTGCTTCAATACTTGTTTGGCCCTCGTTGGCATTCTCACGGTTGTTTCTTGTTCTTGCTGCACCTTGTTGTTTATCTACCTTTGTCCATGGATTCGTTTCGGTAGAGCTGTATACCATGTCCCGTTCTACGGATCGCAGCGCGACGGGCGATTGCCCGTCTCTCCCTTGGAGGTCGCTTTCGGCTACGACGATTTTCGGAGTCGCTGCATTATGCCGTTCGTTCTTGTATATGTGCAGTCGTCCGGAAATCAATGGCTTGGATTCGTTTCTGGAATTACTCGAATCTCGACAGGATACGTCGCGAAGGACGAGGGGTTTGCTGACAGGTATCGGTCCTCTTTATTCTACAATATTCTCTGTCTCTATATAGTCGCTGAGTGGAGATCAGTTGCTGACATGGGGTTGATTCGACAGTCTCGAACCATATAAGCGTGTACGTACGCACGATGCGCCTTGAAGTTTTAAGGCGACACACCCATCTGCGACTTCAACGAAGCTTACGTTGTCGCTGACTCGAGCAGTATGGATGATCCGATCATGTGGGGAGCGATTCCATTACGGTGGAATTTTGGACTTTCCTCCTCCAACAAGAGATGGGGATTCGGCAGCCATGATATCTGTTATCAGAGCCGGTACGGTGAAACAACACACTATCTGGTCATGGTGTTGCGGCTAACCAGCTGGACCTGAGTAGACCTCTGGCTCTCTTCTTCACGATGGGCCAAGTCCTACCCACACATCGACTAGCCCATTCGCCCCATGGCGGTTTGGCACAGCCAGCCGTGACCCAGGCTATCCGGCTATTGTCGAAGGGGCCGTTCCCTCCAGATCCACACCTCCCTCCTCCTGAAAGACAACACTGGAGCTTAGAGAACATCTGCGTCGACCCATTCTCGGATCTCCCTACGGCTTACACCACTACTGGAATAGATTCACATCTGGCACCGTCTGCCTACGCCTGCAACTCATACTCGTGGGTCCATATCTTTCCTGAGGGCAAAATACACCAGGCTCCGAACAAAACGATGCGTTATTTCAAGTGGGGTGTCGCTCGACTGATATTGGAAGCAAACGAGTGTCCTGACGTTGTCCCGATCTGGCTGGAGGGATTTGACCAGGTCATGCACGAAAGCCGCGGCTTTCCTCGGTTTCTTCCTCGAGTAGGGAACGACATTAGCATCACATTTGGGAAGAAGGTAGATTCCGAGGCTGTCTTTGGCGACATGAGAAGAAGATGGCGTGAGATCAAGGCAAAGGCTGAGCTGGCGTCACCGGAGTCTCGTGACCTTCCCCTAGGGGTGCTTAGCGACGAACTGCTGCACGACGAAGAGGCGGTCGAGCTGCGAAAGGAGGTGACCAAGAAGGTCCGGGATCTTGTCTTGGAGGTGAGGCGGACCAGAGGCCTCTCCGACGAAGACCCCAAACACGGTCTCGCGGAGACATGGATTGAAGAAGGTCCGCAACGGGAAGGCAAAATGAAAGATGAGTCATGGGTAAGGGACATATGAGTCAGGCTCCCTACTCTTTGTTCCTCAAGTACATATGTAAGATTACGAATGGTCCGTGTACAATAAAATTGAGGATATAAAACATCGTTTAGTTGTTCCGGAGTCGAGTCCAGCCCTGTCCTCTGGCTGAGGGGGCGAAATCATCCGCGGGTAAAAGCAAAACACCCCCAGCTTCTCCAACGCCGCTCCGTCAACACCCCACCTGCTTCTCGTTCCTCTCATGTCATCATATTCTCTATGCCCAAAAAGCACCACAAACACACCTTCGCGAAGCCTGTCAGTCCCGCTCATCATACGTTAATCTCGTCCGGTCCTCGTAACCAAAATGAACGGTTTCAAGCTTCGCAGACCTCGTCCTCAAGCACATCGACACCATCGGTCAACGACCTGATCAACCATCTCCGTCGCACGCAGGTTTGCCGCTCGCCTGAAGACGGTGCTGGCAGCCCAACCCGGTTTGTCGCTCCTCGATCTGTGCATCCATCACTGCGGAACTTGCTAGAGCTCCCTGAAACCCCGCCACCTCGTCCCCGCCCGGAAGCACGCCGCGTCGGAGTTACTGGACGACGGTTGAGGAGGACTCCCGGACCGCCGCCTCCCCAGAGCTGGCTTTTGGGGAGTCATGATAAGGATACATCGGATGGAGATTTGAATGCTACAAATGCTGCGCGAGTGGAAAGGATTATATGCCGGTTGGATCGGCTGCCGGGGACGACGTTCCCGCGCAAGTCGGACCTGTTGCACATGGTTCTGAAGACCATGGCGTCGCAATGGGCATGGCATATCGAATACGACGGGCAATTCCTGGCTGTGCTGCCCAGTCACGTCAAGATTTTGCTGCTGAGCTATATTGCTGTTTATGCGAGAGACCAACCTCTAAAAGGGCTGATGCATGGGTTGAAGCCTCTGTTCGAGAAATTCAATACCGTTGGCTATGAAAGTGGGGATGCTGGGGATACAGCCCACGACGGGGACTCAGAGATCTCGCGTCTGGATTTGAGCAGTGCATTAGGGCGCTGGATGACCATAAAACAGCTGTCGCACGAACTTTTCCTCTCGAACAAGTCGGGAGCAAGTCTTGTGCAAGGCAAGGCTAAAGAGTCTGTTCCGTCATCATGGGAAGAGGTCGATGACGAAGATGAATTGACGGATGAAAATCCTAATATGCCCATCCCCAAGGCATTAAGCCAGGGCCTTCGCTTCCAAAATCTTCGCTTCCTCTCCCTAGCGCACCCCAAACCCGCAGCCGCGGACTGGAACTCACTTGTCGATCTCCTGTCGCGTCTGTCAACAATTACCCATCTCTCTTTGGCGCACTGGCCTTTACCAACAGTTACTCCGAACGCTATGAACACCCGTATCAGACATCCCACTCAGCGCTCCCTCACCTTCGCCTACGGCGGTACAGACTCTTACTCTGGAATGGAGAACAACTGGGCCGAAGCAGCTGCCATTCTGCGCAGGCTCTCGCGCGTAACATATTGTCTGAAGTGGCTGGATCTTGAAGGCTGCGGGGACTGGATTCCCGCGTTGACGTGGGAAGGTGTTAACCCGGACGGTGAGGCACTACCCTCGGGACCCGAATGGAACGGATCATGGCGGGATATCGAGTATATCCGACTAGGACCTGGGTGGCTCCCTCATGTCGATGACAGTGAGTTCACCGTACCGCAAAGCGGTGCAGCTGAGCGACTACCATCGTCCCCTTCGCGATCGCTCGCTTCGTCCATCCATGCGCCATCTCCCGCTCCGTCCGATACCCCGGACCTTCCGTGGGATGTCGAGGTTGAACGCATCAAGTACAGGCGAGCGAAGGAGTTGGAGTATTACCGGGAGACTCTGCGTTCTGCGAGAGCAGTGCAGAGAAGTGTTCTGCAGCTCCGACAGAGCGGACGAGGAAAGTGGGTGCATTTTTCTTTTGGCCTGGAGGGATTGGATGCCGGCATTCTTAAGAAATTACTTGGGGCAGATTATCGAAGTTTCGTCCTATGATGCTATACCTAGAACGGTGATATCGATTACAGTATATATAGGAGCGTTCCATAAGACTTTAATTGATACTTTAGACCGACGACTTTGATCGGAGCCGGGCGGCGCCTTGCATAGAACTCAAGTCACAAGAAAATCGCACTTGGTATCTATAGATCTAGAATCGCCTGTATGTACAAGATTGTGCAGCCATTTCAAACTTTTGTAATCCCTCCCAGATCTATCATAAAAGACACATCCATCAACGCACCTTATCACTTGCGACCCCGATTGAAGGTCTTGAGCGGGTCCACCTTCCTCACGCCGGAGGGTTTCCGCCCTTTACCCTTACCCCGGTTCTTCTCTCTCGCTTTGCGAATCCGATTGTCTCCCGACTTCCTGAAACCGACGAACCCAACGTCTTCGCTGGAGATGCCTTTCCTTCCCTTGCTCGGCATCAGATAATCCGGAATGTGTTTCAGGTGTGGTTGAATCCGCGCGGCGCGAAGCTCGCCGTCATGGCGCAGTTGCTTGAGTTCCTCGGGGTTCTCCTCGAAGTGCCGCTTGAGCTTCTCGCTCTTGACCAGCTCCTGGCGGATTTCGCGCGCACGTGCTTCCTGGATGGCCAACCGTGTGACTGCTCGAAGGGCATCTGTCATACGGTACCGGAAGGCATCGACCTGCTTCATCTCGAAGTGGTAGGGTTTCACCTCGTGGCCGAGTTTGGCTTGCTTCTTGACGATCTTCGCCAGTACGGACTCGTCGTGCTTGGCGGTTGGGAAACTGGTGGGCTTGTGCTTGCCGAATTCGTCCGCTGGGATGACAAATGACAGGGCCATGCCGGCTTTGCCAGCTCTTCCTGTACGGCCGATACGGTGGGTGTAGGACTTGGAAGTGGTGGGGAGGTCGAAGTTTAGAACACATGCGACGTTCTGGAAATCGATGCCACGGGATATTCCGTAATCCTTGGCTTTTCCTGATGTCTTGCGACGTTTTTCTGGGCGAGCAGATTTGCCGCTCTGTTCTGGTTCATTGTCCTCGTCTTCACTGGAGCCCATCTTGTCCTTGGACTCTTCGTCGCCGTCTGTAGCCTCCTTGGATTTCTTGGAAGATGTCCGCGATCCCATCACTTCTTGCTCATCAGCTGCGATGATGATATCGTAAACACCCTTGTTGAACTCCTGCACAACGTGAATCCGAGAATTGATCGGCAGCTCGGAATTGAGGACACAGCTTTTGATTCCAAATTGCTCGAGGAAGAGCTTGAGACGATAACAACGATCAATATCGCCAACGAAGATAATGACTTTGCCCTTGATCAACTGTAGTTTGAAGATGACGTAAGTCAGGAGGAACTTTTCATCTTCCGCGCATCTGCCACAATCATTAGCCAGAGACCAAGCATTGTCACAGTGGACAACAGATCATACCTAACAACAAACTGACTGATACCAGCACCCTCATCCTCCTTGTCTTCCAACTTCAGAATCACAGGACTCCGACAGAACAAGCCCTTCAGGGTATCAACTTCCGACGTGAGGGTTGCACTCATGAGGAACGTCTGCACACCGCGGGGGATCGCCTTCGCCAATACGTTGATATCCTCATCATAACCGTACGAAAGAACCAGATCCGCTTCGTCGATTACAAGGTGCGTCAAACTTTCCAGTGACAGTGCCGAAGTACCCAGGTTGGCAATCACACGAGCAGGAGTGGACACAATTAGGTCCGGGTAATCGGCGAGCATGGTGCGCTGCACAGCGTCGGAAACCTTCTGTGTAAGATTCACGGAGCGAACATCTTTGCCACAGAATGCAGAAAATTTGATGATGACACTCTGAACTTGTTCTGCAAGCTCTCGGGTAGGAACGAGGATGAGGCCAGTGGTAGCCTTTAACGAGGGATCGGCCTAGACAATTATTCGTCTTAGCATCGTCTCCTTGCATACGAGTCTAAGGATAGCGTACAGCTTTCTTCTGAAGGATCGTCTGTAAAATCGGGAGGACATAGGCCGCAGTCTTTCCAGAGCCTGTCTTTGCACGGGCTGGTTTCATTAGCGGCGTCAGACCATAGCACATGCCGAAGCCTCTGTGCTTACCTAGAATATCCTTGCCCTCAAGAGCGAGCGGGATGGCCTTGGATTGTACGGGGGTAGGCTTCGTGAATTGTTCTTTGATCAAAGCTTGGCGCAGTCGGGGATCGAGATTGAGGCTTTCGAAATCGGTGTTGTCCGCATCTTTTGTCTCCTTTTCCTCTGCAACCTCTGTTGAAGGGACATCATTGGCATCAAGCTTGCGTTTCATTTTGACGAGACAATGTTCCAAAAGCCGTTGAAAAGATCCTTCAAGTTGACTTGATTGTAGGATATTGCAGACTCGAAAGTTTTCCTCGTTCGGGCGGCTTCAGAAATTCTGTCGGGCGGTGAGATTCCCGCGGCAGTATTTTCTCCACTATTTACTCCTTTAATGGTGACCCTTCTGGCTAGCCTCATCCAATGATGTCGACAGTCCTGTCAATTTATATTACTTACTCCTCTAACAGCTTTGAAACATACTTCGCTCAGTTGCTTAAGAAGAGATAATTACAATTTGATTTGATCATATACCATCTTCCCCCATTCGACAACCGAAGGTATTTTCAAACACTGACGTGATAGCAACATGAATCATGAAAATGGCCCGAAACGACAATCGTGCGTACAATTCTGCGCTGGTGTGCTTCAAGTCGTATTTATAGACCCTAAACGGCGTTGAGAAGCATTCGCCTAGGCCAAATCTCTGTCGTTATTATGATATCCTTGCAAATTCGTATTCGGTGACATAGTCGTTCTTCCAGCTCAAAAAGAGCACGAGTAAGCGCAAACAAAGTGGAGAAGGATCCAAAGAAGGACTGGCAATAGGAAATCAGCAGCACTGGTATCATCAGCTCGTGCACAGTGTGTGGTTGGACTGGTGCTCCTAGAGCGGCGAAAAGCTGAGTAACGAATAAAGCTGCTGAGAACGTATCATGGATAGCACGAAAGTCTCCCATAGAGATCGTGTTTCGAGGATTTCGCTCAGAAAGGAGCTGAAAGTTGGACACAGGGGCAGTCTCCACCTGGAGCACCAAAGCAATCGTATGGGGCTATTGCACATGGAATCTGCACTAAATGTCGAGTCTGAATTCATTACTTGCATAGCCTCTGAATTTGACCATTGAGGTCCAGGATATCATCCCGACATGGCGCACTTTGACATTATGTTCGACGGTGTAGACCTTGCCGAAATTCAGACGAGACATCTCATCGAGTCTCTCGTCAGGGCTCGCTGGTTCGATCTCCAAGGGTTCTTTGGTCATTCGTGGCTCATCAGCTTTGCAAGTCGGCACAGATCCCCGCATATATACAATGGCATGTTTTGCTGGGTCAACGCCGGGTTTGGCTACTCCTTTTCCGCCATAAGTGGTGATGGGTCTGAACAGTATAATCAGCGTTGGTTGGTAGGATAGCTCCTCAATGGGTTTGACTTACACACACCAGGCGCATTGACTCATCGCTTTAACAACCACCATGCGCCGGATACCGCTGAAGATCTCCTCTCCAAATCTGCCTCGGGTGAATTGGTTTTGAGTGGATCTGCCTTGGTTGTGGAAGTCCGAGATTACGGTTCCTTGTTGTCCTCTGCCTTCATGCCAGAGGATTGCGAAGACCTGTACAAGTTGTCAAAAAGTGCAGATAGTACGGAAAGGGCTTGCAGAAAAGAGGATGATCTGGGGGCTCCTCATATAGTTCTTACCCTTCCCACGATAAAGAACTCGCTAGGAGATCTCTGCACTTGGTAGCCTAGAGATCATTAGATGGTTGAAGGTGGGCCATGGGCAACATATGTTACATACGCCAATCGAGAGGGGATCCATACACCCCGCCTGATTCACCGCGGATGCTGTAAGCCTTTCGGTTTCGCAGAGTCTATATTATCATTAGACGCGTGTCATATCTGGACTTGCGAATGTTCACTCACCCCAAGCGGAGGACTGCTCTGTTCGGATGTGACGTGTGGGTCCGTACGATCTGAACCTATTCCAGGCATAGGACTGTACATCGTGCGACCACTGGCACTTTGATGCACTCCAGGATTGCGCGTGAGAGTCAAGTCTGGTGGACTGTATCCAGACGCTTGGAAATGATTATGCTGGTGATGCCTGCGAGGACTTGCTGGCTGATAATCACGACTCTCCAAAATATCGCTGTCTAGGTCGCTGGATCCCTTGGTTGGGAAGCGTGTTCCCATATGTGCAAAATCAGTAGCCAGAATGTCCATGGCCGTAGCACTGTATTCCCCAGCAGATGCACGATAATTACTCTGGGTGTTGTATGAACATTGAGTGGCCACGTCTCCATCGTAGACACCGGAAGGATAATGGATGGGTGGGGTCGAGCTATGGACTGAATGGCGCAGAGAGGTCTGTTGTATATTCTGAATACTATTCATGTTTGCTCCCGTCAGTACCTTTCATCTCATGGCCCATACCTCCCAAGTAAGTTATAAGCTTTCAACATACGCTGGAAGGTTGTTCGGCTGTCCACCGCGTCGAGACGACAGCCCATATGAAGGGGATGCGAGAATCACATCACTTGCAGGGCCACCACTTTCATCTCGGTAGAGAAGAGCTGACGACGAGCGTGGATCACTTAAGCAAGTCACATCAGCATTGACCGTGAGCAGCCATGGAATTTTCTTTCTACCGTCTTGAATTCGACCCCTCATGTCTCACTGATCGATCGCGTTGTCCTCCCTCGTCACGATGAGTAGCTAAATGCATGAATGAGCTTTGTGCGACGAATCCGGGGTAATGTTGTGCAGGTCTCCTACCACTACGATGCTGATGTCGGTGCCTTCTTTCAGAATTGGCCATACTTCATTTCCCGACAGTTGCAGACAAGTCACAATAGAATAAGTCACTGCTTAGATTTATCGAAATACTTTGATCGAGAAGATCTGGAGGTACGAGAGTCGAAGCTCTCAAACAGTTGGACTATTGGACTGCATGGCTGCTTAAAGGCAACCCGACGGTAGTGGCAACCCATACCGACATAGCTGGGCTGAAGGAGCCGAATTGAGGCTCTTTTGCTGTCACTCACTTCCCTCCATATTGATAGAATGATCAGATTGACCGAACAGCTTCGATGCACGATCAGCGCCAGGTATGTGTGGCTACTTTGTTGTCCGAATTCTACTCGTAGATGAGATGTCGCACATGACAATCGACCCAGGAAAGTCGCATCTGGCTTTACGAGGTCCGGGATAAGCACCCTCTTTTTCTTGATTGGCCTCGAAGGGGGGTTGGCGGATGGACGCTTTGCTAGCCATCCATACTGATTAGCTTAGTTCATGGTGTCTCCACGAAATGGGGGAGGGGTCTTACAGGAACTACTACTGCACCTCGAACGGAGACTACACGGCTTGGTCCGTCTGACCAGTAGAAGACACTCAGTAGCGCATCACCAGCTTCATAGGATTAGTAGCGCCAATGAGACGGCACGGGAAGGCCGAACGCTCCCGTGTGGTTGGAAAGCCACGACTCATGAAACCCTCTCGCAAGGCTGTCGTCAATATATTTTGTCCTTTCAAGCCTCTGAATCTTTTAATTGTTGGAAGTCATGGGGAGAACTGCGAATTAACAGGAAATGATGCCTGTCGCCAATCCGGCCTGGTGATTGGGAGGTCGCACAGAGTGATGCTGGCATCCGCCTATGAGACTCATCAACGTGACGCATCCAGGCAAGAAAATAGGGAATAGATGGGCACTATCCCTTTCATCCGGCATATTAGAAAATGACCCAGAAGGCGAGGAAACAAAACCATAAAAGAATAAGACCACAGCGGAAAAGCAAACAATAACAAGGCGGACCAAGTCAGTATTATATTGGTGCTGGCCAAATTTCGGGAGAAATGTGAAGCACCAAGGCACAAAGTAAACAGAAAAAGCATTCCGGCCTAACCCCCCTTTCTGTGGCAGAACAACACAGTAGTGCGACGATCAGGGACACACGTGGGTTAGGAGAGAAACTTTGAGACACAGTTAATCTCCTTTCTTCACTCTTTTGCCTGGTCTCCTGGGCCCAGAAGATGTAAGCATAAAGGAAGCTTCCACTACCTGATCAGTTGTAGTTGCAAGATGGGGTCTTGGCCGGGTCGGATGAAGGATCCAAATCCAACCTACAAAGGGGTAAGTCGCTTATATTCAGTTGTTACCCTTGCCTTTCAGAGCCCTCCCAAGTGACTTAAAAAATTCGGATGATGCGCAGAGGAGGAAAGGGGACATTCGGCCCTCTAGCACTGTGGAGCTGGATCTCCATGCCGATCCACTGGGTCCAGGTCCAGGCACCACGTCGTTCTTAAGCTTTCCCCACAGGAGGTTATCTCAACCTGGTATCTCGGGAGGTCACGATGATCATGCAAAGCGCAACAGTATCGTGAGCAGACTCTTGCACGGTCTAGCCGGTTCTCATACCGATTCCTTTAGGGACACGGATGCTGATGTTTTGCCATCTCCAACAAACCCAACAGAGCATTCAGAGGATCTACAGGAGGACCGGGGACAGGATTGGAAGTCGCAAGCTTCCCACCAGCCCAGCGAAGCTCGCGACCATGTGCCGCTACTTGAACCCAGGACCGCAAGTGGGCGCCTGATCGAACAATTAGAGGATGTCTCTGCTAGACGGCTTCGGGCGCGAGAAATGCGCGTTGCTCTACGCTACAAGCGAGAAGATGAGGGAAAGCATCGAGCCGCGCTGATGAAGAGACTTAACTCGCTTCTTGCGCAAGATCACCAGCTCGTCGACCTGATTGAAGGGCTCGAGTCGGCCACGGAATCTTACTTGGACCTGGAGCAAGCATATCATCGGACGGAAGACGAGCTGGATCAAGATGAGTATGTGCTCATCCAGTCTATGCAGCGGTTCGCGAAATCATTGCGTGAGTCGCCACCAGGACTATCAAAGGTAACCCTTCAAGCTGAAAGCAACGCCTCCGATGATAGCGCACGCTCGTTCCATGATGAGCCTCTGGAATACCCACCTCCTGTGTATGATTACCTCTCACGAGTGGGAGATGCGCGGATACTACAAGAGCGCTTGGCGGAGCTTGATTCACAATGGTACACCATTGTTGACAAACAAAGGCTGCGAAGCTCGCTCAATATCTCTTTGGATGAGGAGTCTCTACAATTCCTGCGGTCATACGATGGGGCAAGGACGCAAATCCGGAAGGAACTCCACCAGACAATGCTGGACGTTGTCCGTCTCCGGGCTATCTGCGACGAACGAGGGCTCCGGACCGAAGAATACACCGGAGACATGGATTTCTTATATGGAATGGGCCTTGAAGAAGTTGCATCCCAACCCGAAGATCCTCTGAAGACGTCTGCTATTGACGACTCTTCCCCTTCTACGAGGCTGGGTCTGCCAAAGTCAGCAGCGCCATGTTCATCAACAAGTGGCTTCTGCATCAACTCCGACACTCATCGGTAGAGATCTCGCGTCTCAAAGCTGCCCCAGAACTTCGGCAGTTGTCGGATGAAGGGTGGGATGATGCGAATATCAGTCGCTTGGCCCTGACGGTGTGGTTCTCGGACGATACAGTCCGAAACTCTCCGCAGACTTTATCCCAAGCCGATGATTATGATTACACGGGCGCTACCGAGAGAAGCAAGGCCACCAGACCTCGGCTACAGAAAAGCAAGTCTGAGCCCGGCATTACTCCCAAAAAGAGAGGCTCCTGCGCATCACCTCTGCGCACTCTATCGCTCTAATACTTCCTCTCACTGCTCCAATTACTTCGTTGCCCGCCCGTTTTCTCTGACTCTTCGGGAGTCTCTTATCTCACGTTTTGCATTTGTTTCGGCTTCCTTTGCATATGGCATGTATAGAACTGGATTGGGCTCGGCGCATCAATAGCATCCGTAATATTTCTCATCTCTGGTCATTCAACACCTCCCCTTTTCAAGGTTGTCCTCACCGGCATCTCGTCTATTTCGGTTTCCTCATTCCAGCGAATCAGAACACACATCTGTTGGCAGACGCATCGTATCGAACTCTCAGCAATACTACAATATCTAATTTCAATAAGGCTGATACCAACCAAGAACAGGTATATTCGCGAATGGATAGATCCTGCAACGTGTGAAATGTCTGCCGTATCGTCCGACTTCCGTAGCTGACCCTGTCCCTTTTTCCGCGGATCGAGCTTTCGGCTCGTAGTAATGCATGGGTGTCCCTGTAAGGATGGGTTGCGGCTTGCGGCGCCTCGTATAGTTGGTGCTCTTGAGCTAGGTATCTCGTAGATAGTCTTGCATCAGCTACGCACTTTAGTATTGGATAGATGGAGTGTCCTTCCCGAGATTATGTTCGGCTGAGGTCATCCCAAGAAGTAATGATTGGTGTGGTGTAAATAAGCAGGCTATTCCGTTCATTCATGTTAGTTACAGGAGCGTTTAGCTGATTTCAGGGAATCCCCGGGGCTAAACTCAAAGTAAAAGTCAAAAGGTGATGTTTCATGACACGATCAGACTCCGTGGCCCAGACATATCCCTGCCAAAGTAAGACTTCCATTGTTATTCGTTTCGTCCCGATCCGTCCCATCCCATTCGTCATATCCGTTGTAATCATTGAACATAAAACACATAGTGAAACTTAATGTAATCGTCCTATTATTTACAATCTGTAGCTGGAAACTAGACAAAAAAGAAAAAGGCAAAAAAGAGGCGCGCATTTCCATAAGTCGTTGCTAAATTTGGGGTCTCTCACGAGTACCGCGTTTCGTCGCCGTCGCTGTCGCTCAGACTGTCCCGTCGTCTGCTCCGTCCGCCTTCACGGCGGTATCCCTTGCTGAGTCCTGGGATGGGATGATGGTAGTGCTTGGTCCCCGATCCGTCATCCGTTTCCACATTGGAGTATTGATACTCGGATCTGGAGCCCGCTGACGAGAAATCCAGAGGCTCGGTGTAATGACCTGGCACGGACTGATGGTCTCGTTTGCGCGGGCTGCCCTGGCGCGATGAGGTGGTCGGGGGAGCACGACGTCTCTCTCGGCGACGATTGTGTCGTCTCGCTGATGGCTCGCGGAGGTGTTGGCGCTCCTCCGCCGTCTGACTCAGGACGTCCTCGCTTCCGGGGGTGAAAGAGAAATTGCGGCCCTGACGCGCGGGCTCGTAGGCGTAGTCGCGTACCTCGCTCATCTCGCTCGCATTGTAGGAGGTGGGTGGGTTGGAGGTGTCGTAGTCACTACCGTGGTAGGTTCCGTCCCCCTCGCAATTGATGCCGCCGATCCGGGCCGGTTTCTCCTTGCGGTAGGCACGCACGTCTTCGTCGGCTTCGCCCTCCCAGTTCTCGTCCTTGCGTCTGCGCATGAGCTTCTGTTTAGCCGTCTCCCGGAATCTGCGCTTGCGCTTGTGGTCTCCCTCCTCCTTTTCGGTGATCGTCGTTGCGGTGTCTGTGTATCCGTCGGCAACCGTGTACCCATCGTCGCTATACCCTTTGCCAACGATACTGCCCCCACCCAGTCTCGTACTCTTCGTGGCATTACTGAGGGTCCGTCCGTCGGGGCCTTTGCGTCGCAGAACGGTAGATTTATATTCATCCCAGTCGCCTTTTCTCCAGACGAATCCACCATTCTTTGCCCAGAAGAAGAACCAGATGCCGCCAAGGACAAATGCTGCTCCAATTAACCCAAATAATGCTAATAGCCCTGCATGTTGATGTTCTTGGGGTCGACTGTTCCTTGACCGGGGACGTATGTCTTCGCCGCGTCTGCTCTGCGGGTCAGGGCTTTGACAACCTCTGCTGGAGATGGAAGAACGGAGCCGTCGGTAGTATCAAGATCATGACTTGCGATCCGGTTCTCTCTGCCGACAATATACTCAAGAGAAATACCGGGGAAGTCCCCACTAGTTGGACAGGAGGCATAGTGGGCAGATATTAGAGCTGTCAAGAGCACGCAGCTCAAGACGGAACTCTGAAGAGATCAGTTTTAGGCACTTGATTGACGGTCCTCGTGGAATGAGGGGCTTTACCCTCGAAGGTTGATCCCCGGATTTTGTATCTCCAAAGAATGTTGCTCTCAGCTCCACTTGGTATGTGCTATGGTTCCGATGAGGAATGGATGCTAGCAAATATGTCGACGGCTGGCAATTCACAAATTGGTTTTACGCAAAATAAAGAGAAGAAAACGCAGAATATACTGAGAGACGCAGACCTGAGTCAAGCAACGTAGAACCCTTGAAATTGCGGTGGTTGGATATAATGAGGGAGGCTGGGAATGACGCTTTTGTTTGGGCGATCGGCGTTGTACAGGCAACTTGCTGAGTCATCAAGTTATCGATAAGTTAACTAGTTAACCAAATCGGCGATATCGATAAGCGACAAAACTAAGATGGATGATGCGCCGACAAACAAAGTCAAATAACAGGATGACAGAGAGGTATACGGAGTATTTTACAAATATTTTTTATTCTATAGAGACTTTATCTGCTACACTCTTTAAGATACCCCTCAAGGGCCTATAACCACTCACGTCTGAGCGTAAAGATACAGGTGCCGACAGCCTGGTGCTCAGTTTTATATCTCAAAATGATTCCTTTCAATGATATTGTATGGGATCGGCTTGATGACGACATAACAATAGCAGAATACAACAAGAATAGCATAGAATAAGTCTTTGCAGGGACCAACAGTCCAACTCAGCATTTCTTGTGAATGCATCCAGGATCTTAGATCTCTGGGCTAACACGGAAGCTTAATGCAGTTCATGAGACCAAAGGGCTGCCTTGCACTAGACTTACAGTAAATAGATGGGCTTCAACATGAGACCAGAATCAACCTAGTTTGCTGAAAAAGCAATGGGAAGTGAAATTACATCTAGTGATTCTTAACTTTGGTCGATAAAAGGATCTACCGCCAGCATCCACCACATAGTGCAGTCAGCTGAAGAAGTACGGAGTAGACTGGATCATACCACCCGTAGCTGGAAATGGTAGTGATCCGGAAGGCGTCAGTAAAAACAGACCTTGTTAGGCTCTTGGGTAAGCTGTACATTTCTTAGCTACCAAGCACCGCGGAAATACGTACCTGATGGATGGGTCATTCAGGAGTCGATACGCAGGATGATTGATCTATGTAAGAGCCAACATACTTCTCAGTGACCTGGTATCTAGATATGACTCAGAGATTCAAAGCTAAGTTCGGCGGATATGGTTGTGGACGAAACATGAGAGGCGTAGAATAGCATTTGTGCCCGAGTGGATATCGAAGGAGTCTGCAGTCGACCGAAATATGACCTTGAGGTTTCAGAGATTCTAAATTTACCTGGCTACATAGATAGAAATTGATGATCCGGGAGCAGAGCTTTGTGTGAATATGTGCATCAACATGATGACCATTAATAGATGCATAACCCTAACATCGTCGATATAGACCAGGATGCCCAATGCATGGGTTTCAACTGACAGATGTTTTCTAGCGTGCTTCTAGAGGGAGTTCAATGCCGGTGTAATAATAATACTATACTTGCTCACCCCGCCATCTGAAGGTCCCTGGACCAGTTAGTTTCAGTCTAATATTCTGACTCTATCCAGGGATGAAACAAGATCATTAGATGTGAATTAAATCTAATCAGAACTAGACAAAGATGGCAAGTGGGGTAATCGTTTATTTCTATTCACAAGCAGTAATATTTTTTCTTTTTCATATCTTTGGGATGAAAAGATGTTGAGGCTGAGCACTCGGAACTGAACCGTATGTTGATACAAGGAATGTGCTGCCTGATGGTAATGTCAAAACATGATGATAGCCACGGAAAGACTGACAGAAAATCAATGAAGACAGAGGGGCATCTCTTATTCAAGAAATCAAGACTGAAAACTGCCACTCATCGAGACGAATTTTTTTTTTTTTTTTTTTAAAGATGGAGACATGAGCAAGGAAGATGCGGCACTGGAGGCTAATGCCAGAACTATTGGGCCGCAATGGATTTTGGGCAGCGATTGGGACAGGAGAATCTCGGATTGGTAATTGCTGATATCCTGGCGGGACTTGGATTTAAGAATTGAAAGGGAAAAAGAGGGTCAAATTCCTGTACAAATATCAAAATCAAATGATCTGGTCACAGGATCCAAGACAGAGGGCATTATTGTTATCATTTTTGGAGGATAGACAGTTAAGTAGAAGTAAGGTAAGGTAGAGTAAAGTAGTGGAGATGGGTGTGTTGTGTCACTGAGTCTGTTCCACGGTTGGTTCCGTTCGGAGCCAGGGATCTCATTGTTTTGGCTTATCCAATTTTGATACTACGTCGGGTACTACGATTACTAGTAGTATTCGGTCTTGTTTAATGTAGAGTTCTTGTCATCACCTCCTAATAGTTAAATATGTGGTAGTATGTTATGGCTCTATCATTGTACTCCCTAGTTGAGATTTGAACCTCATTGATCCTGGGTCTTATCTTCCATGGTCATTCTGTGCCCCGTCGGAATGTCTTTGGCACACGGGCCAATGGAATAATCACCTGTGCACAATAGGCTTCTGCTGAGTTCTGCCTGCTGGAGAGCATGGCTGTCGACTGACCCAACTGTAGATGCTTCAGTAACCTTGACAAAAGAAGGGATAAGATTTCGCAGATGCTAGTGACGTAGATTCGGATGGCATCGAGCATTCTTATATTACTACTAGTAAACTATTCTAGGCTATCGAATGTCGATAGACACAGTTTCATCGGTTCAAATTCTTTTCTCTGTCCTCAATCTATCTAGACATATTAAAGCATCCTAATCTCAGATAAGTACCTGGTTAGTGGCAGATCAGGCATCGTTCGGTTGCCACTCTCTCTTCCAACGCCTCCCCACCTCGCTGACAATTCGAGGGATTACAGCACTCTGTACTCCGTACTTCCACACAGTTGCTGTTGAAAACGGTAGATCTAAGGTATTGTTGAGAATCATTTTCTTCATTCTCAGTCATCACTGGTCAAGAAGAACAGAAAACAAAAGGGAAAAAAGGTGAGAAAAAAACACCTCGTCCCTTCGGGTATACTTCTTGCTGTCTTTCGATTATGATTTTCTTTTTCTCCGTCTCTTCACGATCAGCTTCTTGGTTTAATTATTGTCTATTATTATTATTATTTTTCTTCAGTTGGGTAACAACGACTTAAAAAGACTTTGTGTCCATCTGCGCGTATCTTTGTCCTTGCAGCCTCTTCTCCCTCTCCCTCTTCACTTTCCCCTCTCTGTCAAGTCTTCATATTGTCTTTTACAGATCTTCCTCCTTGGTTACTCTACCTATCATTCTACCCAATGATATACGTACCTTCATCCTGACTGGATCTGTTCCATCGCGTTGTCAATCTGTCTTCCTCTTTCTGTCTATCTACCTATCTAAACTGTTCTCCTCCATTCTCCACAGTTACTAGTTCACCACATTTTCTTCTTTGCGTCCCAACCCCACCTTCAAGCCTACTGCGGTCTTCGGAGTACGGGCCTCTCTACTCGTCAACTCGTCAAGGCCTAATCACCTGGGAAGAAAACCAGTACACTACTAGGACAGACCACTGGTTACATGCTTGGTCTGCGTCTACACTCTGCAGCCAGGCGACTTTTTCTTTCGCCATTCCTCCATTCACCGTTCGCCAGATCTTTCACTGCACGCTTCTCCTCTTTTTTTCTCCCGTCAGTCTCCGTTTCTGCTCCGTATCTGCCACTTCGTTCTGCTTGTCGACCCACCGCCTCTTCCGTCTACCACAGCTGGAGTTTCGTGCGTCGGACCAACCAACGCCGGCTTCACTCGCTGTCCGCTCCGTTTTCATTAGTATCTCCTTCAAGGAAAAGGAAGGAAAAAAAGAAAAATTATTCGATGGAGACATTGCAGGCTTTGAAGCACGACTACCAGTTTGCATCCACTGCCCGGCGCTGACAGACTGCGATCTAGACGCGCGCCGTCACTCTACTACCGCTTGCCTGACCTGCAGGCCGTTCTACATTTTCGGACCATCGCAGAAAGTGGATTGAAGGAACGAACCACGAAGCGGAGAATTTTTACCATATTACCCATATTGGGTAAGGCGAAAGGGTAAAATAAAGGGGAAAATTCGAAAAAAAAGGGGAAAGGGAAAAAAACAGAAACTGAGTCAACCTGAAGGAGCAGCAGTGGTGGCTCCTGTTAATCGACTAAGCAATCCGAAGCCTGCTGGATCACCACGTTTCACGTCATCCACTGTGTCCTTCCCTACCAGCCCCTCCCCTTTAGTTAGGGACCCAACCTGGGCCTTGGCCGTTGCCTTGAAGTCATGACTGGCAAAGTGCCTCATGCTGCCTTCGTTGAGGAGTACGACGAAGACGCAAACGTCATTCTCCCCGACACCCGTCAAGTTGCTCACATCGCTGCAAAACGCTCCAAGGCTAACCTGAGATCTGGACTTGAGCCCTTGGTTGATGGTGCCAGTGATTCAGGATACTCCAGTCGCACAGCCGCCACCGTCAATAGCGCCCAATCTGGCCCATCGGGCCGGAAAAGTCCTGTCCCTCTTAAACTCGACTCCACGCTCAAGCGAGCCGACCTTGAAAAAATTCGCTCCTCTCGCAAAGATCGTGCAAAAGAAAAGCCTGCACGCCCTGTGCGTGACGACAAGATGCAGGTGGGAACCTATCCCAGTTCCAGCCATTACGCTGCTGCTCCAGCTCAGCGGTCCCCTTCCAGACCCAGACGACGAGACAGTGTTCATGTGCGTCACGTCCCAGGCACCTGCCGGGATTGCGATCAAGGATTGTATCATGCCTCAACACCAATAGAACCGAGACGGATGGAACGTCCCTACTATGTCTCGCAACCGCCGCCCTCAGTTTACGACTATCCTCCGCCGCCACCATCACCACAAAGCCTATACCCCCGTCCGTCATCCAGGACGTTCATGTCTCTCACAGCAGCCGTCCCTCCGCCCGTTCCGGTCGCTCCAACTCGTATCACTCGAATGCTCGTCCGTCGAGCTTTCATGGGATGATGCCAGGTATGGGGCCCATGGTGTATACCCCGTCTCCTATGAGTCGCTACGAAGCCGGGCCTCCGCTGGCTTCACCCGTTTATGCCAATAGCCCGTCCTATGCAGCGTCGCATTATGCCCAACAGTCTCCATATTATGGGGTACAAGAGTTTCTGGCTCTTCCTCCAACCGACCACCACCAGGAACGATCGGCCTCCAAGACACTAGAGAAGCAGCCACGTGCGCGGCGTCCTTCTCTTTATGGACCACCTGTCGTGGATCATGTGCCTCCCACCCCGCCTTACGACGAGAGCGAGGATGACGACGAAGAAGACGACGATGATGACAGTGAAGACGAGCAACTACTCGAACCGCCACCTCCTCCTCCCGTCCGGTCCCGACCACGCCTTCCTTCTCAGTCATCTCATAATCGCGATGAAGATTATTATCGCATGCCGCCTCCGCCGATCAAAAATAACACCCGGCCGCACGTCATTCAGAAACATTCCGATCCATCACGGAAGTCAGCAACAACCACGTCTCTCACCTCGGAGCGCCGCTCATCCAGAAGCTTTGATCTATCGGAGATGGAAGACGCGCTGCCGAGCTACGGATACCGGCGGTCTTCACGCGAGACCGTGGTTCCCGAGCGAAGCCAGAGTCTGAGGGGTAGCAGACGCTCTACGTCCTATCATGACTCCGTGCGCCCGGCTCGAATTGCCATCGAGGGTGCTCGTCGCCAACGGACAACTGTCTATGACTACAATTCGGGCGGCGATATCGAGGATAAGCAGCGAGAGGCAGAAGAGTATCAGGCGTCGAGATCAGGCAAAGCCGTAGCGGTGCCACTTACCGCGGATGCACTGCGCAAAGCCAAAACATCGCAGCGTGCGGGAAGTGACAGCGGAAGTCAGAAGAGCCGTAGCAGCCGAGGTAGTGATGCTCGGACTCAAAATGGTAGCAGCGGCGAGGCCAAGCCGGAGGAAGACGATAACATTGTCATGACCATGAATGGGGTGACTATGAGTTTCACTCAAAAGTCTGTTGGGGGAAAGAGGATCAGCGTTCGGACCGGCGACACGGGAGCGGTTGAGCTGAACATCGAGGGCAAGCGACCGAAGAAGTATCTAACCGGCGGCTCCGATTATACTGGCAGCGTTTCCCGAAGGGAACTGGAAGACGCGCGGCGTCCCCGAGGTGACCGGCGGTCCGACAAGGCCAGTCACCGATCCAGTCGATCGACTTACAGCGGCGGGCGACACTAGGCCACCTCGCCTTGATGCCCGTTGTCCTCCTTTGATGCTTTGTCTTGTCATCTCCCTTGGTTGAGCTCACAGACGTTTCTTTCTTGCGCAAATTGCCTACCTCCTCGAGGTCTATGCTTTTGTGCAGAATCAACTTTGCCAGGAACAGGTGGTGAAGCAGTTTACCAAAAGTTTCTCTACTTTCTTTTTAGGTTCGGGTTTTGTTTATGGGAAGAAAAAATGGGTCCACGGAAATCACCGAGATCGCCGACCATCTTGCGATCCATCCGTGCTTGTCATTTTGATCGAAAAAGTGGGGAGGCTCGCTGATGATTCGAAAAGATCTCATTGCATTTCCGTGGTTTTTTGGTTAAGGGGCGGCTCTTTGTTTCTATTGTTTGATTTTACGCGCAGGGGATGGATGGTGTCAGCTGACTCCGACCGATCACGCCCATCACGGCGAAACGATTGTACGATTCTGATGACCTGCAATGATTCATGTTGATGCGTTTATGTTTATGCTCCGTCATGCCCCTCTGCGAGTCTCGTTGGTTTGTATAATCGCCTTGGATGGCCCTCATGTGTTTCCTTATGTATGTCTGTCTGTTTGCGTTGTCTTTCTTGGTTATCAGCATTTGAAGACAAGTTAGAATCGACGGAGAAGGTATACCCCGAGTTGTTTGTTCGTCGCCAATGACTATTTACTTTTGAATTTTCATGTCCCATTAGCGATACCTGTACCTTTCTTCTCCTACTTGTGCTTTGCCTGAGGGTCCCGACTTTACTCGTAGTTGGTGGATGGTCGGTTTTCTCACCTCGACTTCGTGATGTACTTTTCCTTTATTTCATCCCCTTCCAAGGACATCCCTTTCGAATACTCTTTCACCATTTGACACAAGCCCGGACGACCGGTCTTTTGATACGATTATACCACCGATAGGTTTGAAGAAACCAGTCGGTGTTCCATATTCAATACGATTAATTCAATGCATCACACCGATAAACCTCACCTGGATTTAAAAGGTCCTAATCTCTAATCCCACCAACCCAGATAACTCTATATATAGACAATCAACGAAAGCGCAGCAAGGAAACATGCCAAGAACAAATGACCCCAAGTACAATCGCAACAGCTCAGCTCCGTCTCAGAACCAGGGCAATCCACCCGAACAGCCTATACACGGCAATAATCCCAATCAAGATCCCCACCCACTTCCCCGTCCGCCCAGTCGCATACCCATACGATTCAAGCACGCCCGTTCCTCGGATACGGCACTGCGCCGCAAGATCGGTCTGGTACATACAGTGGCACCCGTCGCCACAGGAGTACGTCCTGCGCGAGAACTCGTTGACCATCATCCCCTGGAACACGTATGCCTAGCGGTAGTTAGCAACATGCCTTTCACAATTTGCAGCTTGGAAAAGCGGGGAAGGGATACCTGATAATCAATATAATGAAAAACATATTTCCAGAACGGGTTAAGGATAGTCGGGGAGACCAGAAACCCGCCGACGCTCATCCAGAGGCCGTTTGCGAAGGCGACGATGGCAAGCGCGATGACGAAGTTGGGGAAGATGGAGGTGACGAAGACGACGAGGGATTCGGCGGCGAGGAGGTCTAGGAAGAGCCACATGACCCATGTGAAGAAGGCGACTGCGTCGGAGCGGAAGTCGGAGAGCCAGTAGGCGACGAGGGAGAAGAGGATTGAGATTAGGACTGCATGCAGTAGGTGTTAGATTGAGTGGAGGGGAAAGGGGGGTGTGTGGGAGAGGAGGGACGTACAGAGGAAGGGAAGGCCGATGATAAAGTTGGAGATTATGAATGGGAGGGCGCCGTAGAGGCCGTTTGCGCGCTCCTTGATGAAGGTTGCGCGGTCTTCGAGGAAGGCGGGTACGTAGGCTACGGCCATGAAGCTCATGAAGGCGGATCCGAAGAACTGGACATCGGAGTGTGAGCGTCGTTGGGAAGAGGAGCAAGAACTACTTACAATTGCGTTGATGAAGGGCTGGATGTACTCTTGTGATTCGTGTAGTCGTAGCCAGACAGTGCCCATCATGATGGCCAGTCCTAAGTCTAGTCAGTATGCTTCTGAGCATGACTTCTGGGATATTACGTACCCAGATACATGACGATGCGGATGCCATACGCCACAACGTCGCGGTAGCTCTTGATAAAAGAGCGGTGCAAAAGTGACCAGGTGATACTCGCAGTGTTTGGCCGAGAGAGCTCTCCCATTGTGATCTTCTTCCCGTCCTGTTCGGGGTGCTCGATCAACTGCGAGATGTGGTTGTCCACGGCCTTCCGCTCGGCGGACCGCAGCCAGGATTCCTGGATCAGTTGCACTCGCTCCGCGGCATTGCCTTCTTTGGCATCGGAGAAGTCGGAGCTGACAATATCGAGAATGAACTCTGCGGGATTCGTGTTCAACGGGATGGGATGGCCGATGCTGCTGAAGTAGGTCGATATGTGAGGAACGGGACCGAAGTAGCACGTCTTGCCTTTGGACAGAAGAAGCAACTTGTCGAAGAGCTGGAATGTGGTCGTCGACGGTTGATGGATACTTGCGATGACGATGAGCTGCGTGACCCGCGTCAGTCTTGTCTTCAATCCAGGGACGGCATTCGTCTTTACATTGTTGGCTACCGCCAATTCCTTGACATATGAAATCACCTCGTAACTCGCCGTCGAGTCCAGACCGCTAGTCGGCTCGTCCAAAAAACAAATCTTCGGACAGGTGATCAGTTGGCTTGCCACGCTTACTCGCCGTTTCTGACCTCCGCTGATACCCTTTCGGATTGGAGTTCCAACCAGCGTCGCAGCCTGATTTAGAATACCAAAGGACTCCAATAGAGTCTGGATACGGTCACGCCGCTGCGCTTTTGAAACAGAGCTGCAGGTCCCTCTCCGTAAGCCTTGTAGCACAGACAGCGATGATTGGAAGCATACCTTGGCAGCGAAAGATCCGCAGCAAACTTCAACGTCTCCTGCACCGTCAACGAGCCGATCAGAGCGTCCTCCTGCTCCACGTAGGAAGTGACCCGGCCAAAGGTCTCATTGTCGAGTGGCCCTCCATTGACGTAGCAGTCCCCCGTAGTCTTCGCGCCCGATGTAGCTGCCCGGCGCGCGAGCACATTGAGCAAAGTCGTCTTGCCGCATCCCGAGGGGCCCATCAGAGCAACCAGTTCACCTTTGGCAAATGTTAGTACCGTGAGCTTCAATAACAGCAATGATAGTATAGAAACAACAGACCCTGCTGGATACTCCCACTGATACCCTCAATCAGGTTGAGCGGCTTCTTCGTCCGGCGATCCTTGACGGTGACGGTCAAGTCATTCCAGGAGAAGTTGTGGACTGTATGATTGACCAGAAACTGGGCTCTATCATTTCTCTCCAGGTCAGGACTGATCATATCTGCGCCCATGGTGAATAGCAACTGAGTCAGGTGACTTCGCTGTTGGAAGTATAAAGGCAGAGGACAGTGGGACTAAAGAAAACAGTCGGAGGGAGATATGCCATTTTGAATGATTCTCAAGCTTAAATAAAACAAGGATCAGTGTGTGATGAGATCAACGGTTCGCAGCCACAGTCGATTAGATTTCATGCAGCTTACTCCATGGATTGATACTACGACAACCCATCCTGGAATACCAAGGTAGAAGAACATCCACCCCGAAGACCCCGAGACGCCGACGGAGCCTCAGGTATCCATTCCAGGGCCAGTCGCCGTCTACCAGTTTGCTTTCCATGGGATCTATCGGTCCAAATCTGATAGCCCCGAGTCTTCGGACTGAAAATTTATCCGCTGATCTCGTCCGATATCCCTTACCATCCCAATCATCGAGGTGATGGTGTTACAGCATGTACGTACCTTGCGCGCTGACACACAAAGTACACTCGAGGACTGCCACGACGTGGAAAAATATGCAACTACTTAGCAGCTGAGCGACCAACGCGGCGGCTAATCATGACGCTTGCTGGAGAGGATAATACAGTAGTCTCGGCGTTAGCCGCAGTGCTAGCTAGCTGTGCAGATGGTAATGAGTAAAGACCGTTAGGCAATTATTACGCCCACCGTGGGCATTGTGCAGTAAGCGGCATGTAACCCTGCAGTCTGTTGGTCACATTTCTGAAACAGGGTGAAATTGAAGCCCGAACTGATGTTGGCTTTTGCTATTATCTCCAGTGACTAGCGCGGAAACGTGCTGCGCGATCTATGGCTGTTTTCAATCGTCTTGCCTGTTGGTTCTTCTAAACCTTGTTCATCTGAATTATTGAATTCTTGTCCCAAGGCGTTGGAAAGTCTCGACCTCCCAATCTACTGTGTTGAACTAAAGCCTCTGTTCAGACTTTCTTCGGACCGCGTTGGTATATCTGGTGTGCAGGCTTACGTGAGATGTGATGCCTGACATGTACATAAGCATAGCGAGAAAATATTTGGTATTCATTGATAGAAAGTCTTCATTTTAGTATTTATATTCCTTTCATTGCGCCATTTACATGCTGCAAAAAAGGGTAAAATGTTAGTCAAAGTCCGAGTCCTGTTCAGATTCAAGGTGGTCACGTACCGTTCGACAGGGCTGAGACCCAGAACCCTCATGCCGTTGTGCAATACTTGCCTGGCCGCCTCGTACAGAGCCATACGGGCCTTCTTGAGTTCAGGCTCGCTTCCCACAACCTTGAGCACGTCGTAGCTGGAGCTGAGAATATGTGTCATACGGAACAGGTAGGTGAGGATGGTGGTTGGCTCAAGCGTCTTGGTAGTGTTCAGCAGCACATCTGGCCAGGTCGCCAGCAGACGGACGAGGTCAACGGCGTGGGGCTCCGTCAGAAGGTCAAGGTTGGCAGAGTCCAGCTCTTCAACATTCAGGCCCGACTTGCGGACAATGGAGCAGAGACGGGCATGTGCGTACTGCAGGTAAGGACCGGTGTCACCCTCGAATGAGGTCATCGCATCCAGGTTGAAGTCATAACCGTTAATACTGCAGTCTGTTAGTTTCGTGGGCTCAACCCAGGGCTAGAAGCGAAATATACGCACCGTTTTCCGGTCATGTCCTGTACCATGACGGAGGTCAAACCCAAAATATCCGCCGTCTCTTCGGGGTTCTCGACCTGCGCGTATTTCTCGGCATTGCCCTTCATGACCTCGTGCATCTTGTCCGCAACATCCCTCAGGATGTCATCCAAGAACTTGACAGTACCCTTACGGGTGCTCATACCACGGACCATACCGAAGTTGATGTGCTGGCAGCGGCTGGCCAGATCCTTACGGCCCATCAACTCTGTGATCTTGAAGAGTTGAGCCAAGTGGAGATCCTGCTGTGCGGCGACCACGTAGATCATCTTATCGAAGTGGTAGGCCTCATCACGCTCCATGATAGCTCCAATATCACGGGTCAGGTACAGAGGAGTGCCATCCTTGCGGACAATGATGGCCTTTCCGAGCTTCTTGGCGCCGTGCTTGGTGAAGTCAACGATGACAGCGCCCTCGGACTTCTCCGAAACACCAGCCTTCTCCATAGTCTCGTAGGCGGCGGTCATGCTCTCGTTCTTGATTTGAGACTCTCCAGAGTAGACATCGAAGTCGATGTTCAGACGAGCATAGGTCTGCTTGTACTTCTCGATACTGAGGTCACGGAATCGTCGCCAGAGGGCGAGAGCTTCCTGGTTCCCATCCTCCATGCTCTTGAAGTAACGACGAGCCTTCTCGTCTTCACTAACATCAACGAGCTTGGCAAGCTCGGCTTCAAGCACAGTCACATCCTCGTTCTTCTCCTTCTTGGCCTTGATCTGCTCCTTCAACTCCTTGATAGGACCCTCCTGCTGGGCGACAATCTGGTTGATCTTGACGTAGACATCGAACAGGTGGTTGATAGGGTTCTTGAGCAGCTCCTCCTCATTACCAAAGCGCTTGAAACCATTGGCAAGGAGACCGTATTGCTTTCCCCAGTCGCCAAGGTAGTTCATCTTGATGACATCCCAACCCATAACGGTGTAGAGATTCGCCAGGAAACCTCCGATGATGGTACTCCGAAGGTGACCAGCATGGAAGGGCTTGGCGATGTTAGGTGACGAGAACTCGACAATGATTCTCTTCTTTCCCTTGGAAGGATCCGAGGGGTCTCGCAGACCCTGGTTACCATTGGTGCCGAAAGTAGCCTTCTCCTTCAGAATACGGGAAATGACGGTCTTGGTGAGAGCTTCGGGCTTGAAGAAAAACTGCAGATGGACGCCAAAGGGGACAGGAGGCGCAACCAAATCGGACTCGGGGAACTTCTCTGCAAGCTCCTTGCACAGTTCTTGGGGGTTCTTCTTGATTTGCAAGGATGGAACCTAGGGCATTGACCAATGTTAACCTTCGCTCGTCCCTTGTCTCTAGCTTGGTGGATCACGCATAGTTCGTACCGGCAGAACCAAGTCTCCCTTGTCCAGCGTATTGGTCCATTGCAGCTTGGGGTAAAGCTTCTCGGGCTCGATGCCAGCCGCGGCACCCAGTTTCTCCGCAATGTGCACTCTGTAGGCGTCGACAGGGTTTAACGAGGGATAGCAGTTCGGGAACTTGGAGGTCTCAGCGGTAGAATGGAGGGTCAGCCCCTCAATGGCGACAGGAAGGTCAGCGGCAGATGCCATAGCTGCGACTAATTTCGAGGGCTTCCCGGGGAGCGCGTACAGCGAAGCGGAGGTACCGAAGGCTCGAGGGTAGAGGGACGGGCGTGGGGTATTAAATTGAAGATCGGTAGAGGTACGAAAGTAGGAAGGAAAGCGACTTTGCAGTGGACTGTAGGATCGAACAGTCAGAAAAATGTCGCTTGAAAATCGCCGGGCCCCGCTAAGCAGATAACGACCCATAGACGGAGGGGAATCTTTAAGCCTCACGAGGGGAACAACTTTTTCCTTCGTTGACTCAAAGCGGCAATTCAGCTTCTGCCCAAGGCGGTGACTCAACAGTCCCCTACATGCATCACGTGCGGTACATGAGCCCTACTCGCAAGTTTGGCATCGCTGCTGACGTCACCAGATTTCAACAACCTGTTCCCGATAACTATTGTACCAGAGGTACAAGAGCAATCTCCTCGATGCTTCAAACATGTCACTCACAATGCAGCCCCGGCTGATTATGCGATTAAGCAAACAGCATTTTAACCATGACAGGAAGTCGCCGTCACTCGGCTCTGGCCAAATCCATCCAGCTTGCGCTGTTTCGTGACCCGAAAGCGTTTCGCAAGTCACTGCTTGGACGTATCCTAGCATTCTTCAGTATCTTCTATATCAGACTCATCAGGTACCGCGACGAACTGTTCCGCAAGCTTCGCAATGATGTCTGGGAAATCGACGAGGAGGAGTACAAAGCGTGTTTCCGCAGCGAGAACAAGACCCTACCATTGAAGCCGATGGGGGATTTAGGGTTGTCTGGATCAGTATGTTGATTAGAATCAGCATACGGTGAGCCGTCTTCTCGAATCTAACATATTGTAGACATTCTTCTCCACATCCAACAACAAGTTTCTCGTCAAGAGTCTCCCGCGACACTTCGAACACTCCTTCTTCCGAGAAGACCTCCTCGAACCGTACTACGAGTATATGAGCACTCACGCAGACTCGATCCTGGTCTGGATCACAGATTATGTGTATGCACCGTACAGAACCATCGGAAGCCTCTTGAAGACCACGCCGGCTCACCATATAATCATGGAGAATATGCTCGTCGGGAAGGACGAGGACTCTGCCAAGGACGAGTGGGAGACGTATGATTTGAAACCAATCGACTACTTCTACCCGGAGCGGGACTTACTACCGGATCCGTTGGTCAGCGAAGAGACCCTGAACAGGCTGGCCGATAAGTTTGAGGATAAGATACACATGCGGCAGTCGGATTATGAAAGGTTTCGAAAAGTACTCGAAGCCGACACTCGCTTCCTTCAGTCAGCAAATGCTGTTGACTACTCACTCTTTCTGATCCGTTACCCTGCGTCCTCCAATCCCGGCGTGGTGGGAAAGAAAAATCCATGGCGCGTAGGATTCAAGTCTCTTGATGGGAAGTGGAAGTACCGCGCGGTAATCTTGGATTTCTTCTGGGCGAAACACAAGCTGCATGCGCAGGCTATGACCACAGTGGTGCAGACCTTTAATGTTATCGGGCGCCAGGGGCCCATGACGATCACAACGACGGCAGACGAATACCGACAGAAATTCCTGGACATGGTCGATGAGTTGCTGGAGGTGCATTGATCTTGAGAATGAGAATAATCCTAGCGGTGCAGCGAACGATATGACAAATATTAGTGCCTAGATATACCTCGTAATCGTAGTTCATGCTAATACAACAGCGCCACGGCTCTCATTATGGGCCGTACAATGCTTTTGATCTAATCGCTGACTCATGAAGCTGTTTTCCTGTAAAATTGCCGTAGTCCCCACTTAAATGTCATTAAACAAGACATAGGGACCAGCCGGACTGCTCTATCGAAGAGTTTCACAGACATATACTATAGGAGGAGCGGATGACTGTTCAAGGCATCTGCTCTCGGAACGCAAAGTGTGAAACCGAAACCGGGCTCAAGACAAGTATGGATATCAAGATTCGCATCGCTTTTGGTAACCTAAAAGCAGAAGACCTGGTCCTCAAGCTTGCTGACGGGGCGGGCCTTGGTGTAACCGAGCGACTCGGTAGCCTTCTTCATCGCGCTGATCATAGGAGGAGGACCGCAGAGCAGAATCTTGACGTCGCTGGCAGGCGCAGGGAGATGTTCCTGTGAAAGATATGAGTATCAGCAAGAGAACCAATCAAGTCAACATGGGGAGGACTGATGCGAACCTTAATCATCTCGGGGGTAACAAATCCAACGCCACCGGTCCAGCCTTGAGGAGGGTTGTTCAGAACATAGTAGATGTTGAAGTCCGGATCTTCGGCAGCCAGCTTGTCCAGCTCCTCCTTGAGCAGGATGTCGTCCGGGTTGACATTGGCGAAGATCAGGTCCAACTTGGTGGTGTCATTGCCGCCGTTGCGGGGGCGGTTGCGAATAACGGCTTTGATGATCTGCAGCATGGGGGTGATACCAGTACCACCAGCAATCATACCAATGTGACGGCACATGTTTGGAGTGTAGACCATGGCACCCTTGGGACCGCGCACTTTCATGGTATCGCCAATCTTCAAGGTGGTCAAGTACTTGGAAATGTTACCCTGGGGATAGGCCTTCACGAGCAAATCAAAATAACCGGCCTCATTGTCCGAAGATATGGGGGTGTAGGAGCGGACAACCTCTTTCGGTTGGCCCTCGATAGTGGCAGCGAGGGAGATGTGTTGACCAATGGGCAAACCCAGGATATCGGTGGGACGGGGGAGGGCAAAGCGATAGATGCAAACATTGTGCGAGATGTCGGTTTTCTCCTTGAGCACGAATTCCTGGAACTCGGTAGGGTTGAGAACCTTTCTGGGCTCTGCCGAGGCGGGACACTTGTTAGTACATTGAAATGACTTGTGGTAAAAAACAGGTGCACGTACTGCTGCCGCCTGTGAACAGCTTCAAGCCAGCCAGGATAGCGGCCAGAGCCACTGCATATGGGACAAACTCCTTCTTCACAATAAAAGTGCCGAAGATGAGGAGGGCCGAGGGGATGTAGACCCCATTGATGTTCTCAGATGACAAGGCACTGCGACATGTGACGAGGAAGATTAGCCAGACGACCACAAAATTGGAATTGACGAGCACACAAATATGAAGGAAGTGTATACCTCATCTCGGACGATCCTCCGGTTGAAAAGTATGTTCAAGGTAAAGAAGGAGAGGAGGAAGGAGAACTGAAGAGGGCGGTTGGGGCAAGGGAAGGGAAAAAGAGAGATCCACGGAGATGGCTCGGCAGCCGGGACTCTGTTCTATTTTATTTCTGCTGGGGGTGGAGCTGGCGGTAACTGACATCCCCTCAACATCCCATTGTTGACCCCATATTCTTTTTAAGATTTAAGTTGTATGTAGATATCATCTGTACCGCTGAAATACAGGGTCCAAACCATAATTTATTGTATAACTAAGCTCAGATCTCACGATAAACAACAGCTCAGCTCAAGGATTCCCCTGCAATTCCGCTGTAGCACCAGGCGCGGAATCCGAGGCCCGTTGGGGGTTTGTTTTCCTTTCCTGGGGTAAGCCGTCGGATTCCTCATGCGAGTCCATCCTGAGCCAGATCTAGAATAATTTCCCGTCTTGAACAAGATTCCCGGTTTCAAGTCTTGCTTACCTCAAGAAACGATAACTCTTAAAGCGATAATGGAAACAACGTCTGAACCTCCTGCCTTTAACCTCACCGACACTGACCGGGAGGTCTTGGCCATGACAGACGACCAATTCGTCCCCCACGACTGGGACAACCTGAAAGATATCATCGGTATGAGATCCAGAACCCAGTACTAGATAGATCGATCAACAAGTGATGGCAACCACCCCTCATCGAGGTCCCCCTCCCCCTCATTCTTCCTCTCCACTTCCTCGACACCCACTTCCAGTTCCGCATCATCAACACATAACAGGAGTACCTATTGATGACTCGCCTTTTCCCCGCACACAGCACGAAATGATCTCGGCGCTCTGAAGCGCAAACCATCCGATCTAGTCCGATACCTCTCCTGGTCCAGAGACACCAAAGCCCAATACGGCTCTATCACAAATTTCATCTGCAAGCGTCGTCTGGGCTGGCATTTACCAGAACCCGCTGGCACCAGTGACTCCAGCGGCACCGCCGTGGCGGACAGCGAGCCGGTCTTCCCTTACAACAACCCGATCCCCTTTGCCGATCCCTCGGACTACAAGATCCTCCGCAACGACTGGCCATACGGTCTTGCGCCGGGAATTGCGCACTTGTGCGTGTGGCTGCGCACTCCTGTGCCTGTCCAGGAACACGGTGGAGACTTGACGGAGGAGTCGCGCGCGCTGATCGAGGGATTTGTGCTGAGGACGTTTGTGGATCGGCTGGCGAGAGAGGGGTATTCCAACCCTGAGGATCATGTGCTTTGGTTTAAGAATTGGACGGCACTACAGAGTGTGAGGAGTCTGGAACATATCCATGTTCTTGTCAGGGATGTGCCGGAGAGCATCCTCTTCGAGTGGACGCAGGAACCGCCTCGCGATGGGGTTCCCAATTAGAACTCTATATGGAGTTCTATGCATATAGACAGACCAAGACCATATCTCCGAGCTAGAGGTCACGATGCTAATGAATAATTTTCGACTTGATGAAATATCAGGGCTGAAAGTAGAGGAAGAGGACTAGGTTAAATTTAAAGTACATATAGACAGATGCCCGACAAACAAAGCAACCCGATACCGCAAACGAAAATAGGGATATAGTCTGATCTCCATAGCAGAAATGTTATCAATAGTACGCCTGCTATCCTCCAATCCAGCAAGTGAGTAGAAGAAACTCGGAAAATTAAGTTCAGCCATTGGTCACCGTCCAGGTGCGCTATTCTTAAGTCTTCTGCTCCTCAACGAACTTGAGCGCCTCTTCTCTAGACACAACATCAATTGTACTAGCCTTCTGCCGGAAGCTGACGCCGTAGCATTTCTCTGCCACATGCAACATTTCAGGACGGAAGGTGGTGCAAATGAACTGCCCGTTGGTAGATTCCGAGATGGACTGGAGCATCTGAGCAACGGCGGTTCGGTACTGAGCGTCAAGGTTGGCATCGATCTCGTCAAACAGGTAAAACGGCGCCGGGTCACAGGCTTGGATTGCGAAGACCAGTGCAAGTGCGCAAAGACCTGTTCAAAATCATCAGTAAGTCAAACGGAGTGCCCGGGGAGGAAAGCTCTTACTCTTTTGGCCACCACTAAGTTGCTGGATTCGCTGCTGTTCGTCATGCTTACTGTTGAAGCTCACACTAATGCCCACTCCGACGTAATTTTCGACACTCTGCTGAGCCCTTTCGTCATCGGAATCCATGTCGTCCTCCTGTCGGAGAGCACGGTCGGTCTTCCGCTGAATGATCAAGCGCCCACGGCCAGCGGGGACGAGCTTCTCAAAGATGTTGGCAAATTCACGAGAGACTTGCTTGAATGTACGCTCAATGGCCTCGTCCTTGCGCTGGTCAAGTACTGAGATGAGTTCCTCAATTGACTTCTGCGATGCTTCGAGTTCCTCTCTCCGGTTAGTTAGGGTTTCGCGCTGCTTGGTGAAACTGTTGTACTGCTCAAACGCTTTCTTGTTGACATGCGAATACTTCTTGAGCGCCTCATTGACCTTGTGCAACTTCTTAACAACGGTGTTCGAGTCAGTGTGCTTGTACTTGGTAAACGCTTCGTCTGGAAGCACGCCCAGGTCGCGGATATTTGCCGCACATTCTGCTGCTTGCTTGGTCAAGGCAGCCTTTTTCTGCATATTCTTTTCCATGCGACGCTGGTGCTTCTCAATGGACCTCGCCAGCTCTTCCAGTTCAAGACGAATTTCGGCCTTTTGTTTCTCGAGCTCATTTGCTTGAGCGTTTGCTTTCTCGATAGACTCATCCACCTTGTGGAGGCGTTGGCTCAGATCATCCAGAGATTTGCGCAGTCGCTTCATCTCCCGCTCGGTCTCCTTCAGATTGCCTTGGCCATCATCATCTCCTATATCAGTATCGCGGCTGACAAGCTGGTCGAGACGGGGGTTCAAGTTCTCCCGGAGTTCGACTTCAAGGATCGACTTTCGAGCCTCCAACTCACTTCGCTGAGCAGAGAGATCCTGATATTGCCGCCGAAGATCCTGAGCAACGACACTGAGCGACTCAAGCTGTGCCTCTTCCTCATTGCTCAGCGCCTTCTGGAATGGTGTTTTCAGCTCCGCCTCGAATGCATTCACCTGGTCGTTCAACGCGGCCAGATTGGTCTCGATATTGCGGAGAGCCTTGCGCTTGGCGTCAAGACTGTCGTTCTTCTGAAGAAGAAGATCCCGTTTGTTTCTGAGCTCTTGCCGGAGCGGTCCACTACTATGCTGTACCTGATGTCTCTGTTGCTCCAGCTTTTGCAATTCACCGACAGACTTCGTAATGACCTGGTCCAACTTCTCCAGCTCCTTCCGAATTTCTGCCCCACGGTTCTTCTTGTTCTCATATTCATCCCGCCATTTCGTCAGGTTTTTCACTGCGTCAAGTCGAGATTGCCGAGAGTCATGGAAACCACCAGTAAGCGCACCTCGCTTATCGGACCGGTCACCCTCGGGCGTAATCGCATTGACACCATGGCTTCGAGCATATTGCGAGGCGACCTGAAGATTTGGGCAAATAATCGTCTTGCCAAACACATGGTTGAAAGCCTTTTCGTATGCAGAATCATATTGTAGCTTGTCGATCATTGGAATCGTATCGCTCGCTCGAGGCAGATTGGCAGGCTTGGATCGGAGTCTGTTTAGGGGCATAAAAGTCACACGTCCAGCCTTCTCCTGCTGCAGTATTTCCAGCACCTTGGTCGCAGTCTCGTCCGTGTCCACGACATAATGGAACAGACTCTGGCCAGCTGTGACTTCAACCGCAGTCCGATATCTGTCATTCACTTCGAACAGTTCCGCCAATGTTCCATAAACTCCTTTAAGGTTGTGTTGACGCTTGATCCTTCGCACGGCCGCAATTCCACGGCTGGTGTTGTGGTCCATCATCTGAGAAAGCGTGCGTTCTGCCCGGTCCACTTCGTTTGAAGCGTTGGCAAGGATCGAGTCGAGCTTTGCTTCTTCGCGCCACAGTTCTCTAGAAAATAGTTAGAGACATCGAGCTCGTTCATTCAGGGTCAAATGGAATTAAGGCAGGAGGAGGGAGAGATGGAAAGTGAACTTACTTCCTCTGGTCCATCAACCTATCCCTTTCGTCCTTTGCAGCTTGAACCTGTTGTTCTACAGAATGGACAGTGTCTCCCCTGCCATCAATTTGTTGGCGCAAGCGTTCCGTTTCCGGTTCCAAGAGCGCAATGTCGTTCTCAAGCTCTTTGATGTCCTCCTGAGTCTGCGCCATCACGGCCTGTACTGTGGAAATAGAGGTGTAATTTTCCTTGATCTCGGCCTGTAGCCATTTATCGCGCTCCGACTTATTCCTGAAGCGCGAGTTGCGACCCTGCTTGGCATACAGACGTTGGCGGGTTGTCTCGGCTTCATTGAGCTGCGCTTTGATGTTGTCTTCCTGGTCTCTGACTGCATTGAAGCGAGGAATGAGTTCCTCGAGTTCAGCCTCGCGCTCCTTGATCGCACGTTCGACGGCCCTAAGATCTTCATCATGGCGTGCTTTGAGCACTTGAGCTGTAGCCTGGTTCTCGGAAAGCGATTTGGCGCGCAATTCCACCTGCGCAAGGCTCTTCGAGGCCTCACGGCGCTCGTCTTCAAGCTGAGCCTTATCCACTTTCAGAAACTCAATTTGCTGCTTGCACTCGGCGATTTCTGCATCTATTTGCGCCATCCCCTTCTCTCCTTCGATGAACCTATCTCGGTTAAGATCTGTATCCTCCACGCCGGTCTGTCTTTGTTCCTCCAGATTGTCAAGGATGCCAGAAATTTCATGTTGCTCACGAGAGTAGATGGTGTATTCCAAGCACCGGCGTTCTTTATCCTTTTCTTGGAAATTGCGCAGCTCATCCTTCTCCTCCTCAAGTTCAGCGAGCCGCTCGTTGATAAAGTCTAAGAGTTCATCAATCTTGGCCTTCTTATTGTTCGTCTCATGCATAATTTTCAACGATTCCGCGCGGCGCGCTTCGTAGACCTGAGTACCAGCAACTTCTTTTAGCAAGTTTAAACGTTCAGAATCCTTCATGTTCGTCAACGCAGTGACTCGACCTTGCGGCACAATATAGTAAGGATTCGATCGCGAGAAACCGGCCGATTCGAGGAGGTTCATGACATCAGATTTGGTAGCATTTTTGCGATCAAGAGTGTATTCGTCCTTCTTGAGTCCAATAGTTCGGCGGAGAACCACTTCCGGCTTTCCAGTAGGGAATCTGTCGTCGGAGTTGTCGAAAATGATCTCAACGTAGGCGGACATCACCGCAGACCCGGAACCTTCCTAGTGAACGTGAGCCAGCGAAACGATCGAAGGACATAGCGCCACGTACGTGAAGCAGGGCCTGTCGCTCCTCCCTGCCAAGATGGGTATAGGCATCGCTCAGGACGAAGCGAATTGCAGCAAAGAAGTTACTCTTGCCGGAACCATTGCGACCGACGATTACATTGTGTTTTGGGGAGAAGGGCTCGATGACCGTCTGGTCCTTGTAGCTAGAGGCATAAAAGAATTAGTCGCAACACTCAATTTTTCCCTAGAGCTTGTTCAGAGAAGAGCGACATACCTTTTGAAGCCCTGAATGATAATCTGCTTGACATACATCTTTGAGGCGCGCGATGCGAGAATTGGATGACAGCTATTGCAACCAGAACATCACGCAGCCAGCAATTTAAAAGAAGGCGCTCTGAAGCTCTGCCTGTGGCCGTCACGATTACCTTCGATGGAAGACAAGCAATAGTCTGTGAAGGTGATCTTCCACATGCGACGGTGAGAACCATCGAAACGCGCGAGTCCGATCCAACTATCCACTGAAGCTACGCGTTTCCGCCCGCGGGGTTTCTGCCGGGCGGTGAAGTCAACAGATGGTTCGCACCGAATTATGGCAAAAAAAAAAGTGTCGGCGGCAAGAGTTCTACCACGGTTCTCAACTCGATTGCTTGAATATCCTCAGTACAAACGAGCAGGACATTCTAGCAGACATGTCTACTCAAGACCCGAGCACACAGGCGACAAGCCTTGCAGATGGGCTGTCGCCTTCCCACACATATGTGCCCAATAGAGGATATGTGAACGCTGAAGGCACAGTCCCCGCCATGGCGGGGCAAGACCCCGAGACGCAAGAAATCGAGGAGGAAGAGGACGAATACTACGATGATATCTTTGAGGAAGCGCTGGACGAGGAAGACTTCACCTCATCGAATACTGCAGATCTCACCAAAGCTTACAACCGTCAACGAAAAGTGAACGAGCTAGCTGCAGACCCCAATGCGCCCAAATGGACCTACCCGAAGACGAACACCCAGAAACCTACTGTCAACACATATGCCTCCGTCGATGATCAGGTCAAATCCTTGACTCGGCATGCAGCTAAGATCAAGCTTGATAATATGCAGTCTGGGTTGGCGGTTCGCAGTG